TTACCCAGGTACACGGGGAGCGTCGACGGTCATAAAAACATGTACGATGGGGAAGAATCTGTTTATCATCATGCTGAATTAGAAGTTGCAAAGAACGACTCACCTGTTGTCAACGCTGCAGGTACACAGAACTCATCGACAGACGGGGAAAGATAACGGCCAAGTTCACTCACACGCCTCGAAAAGCCGTTCGACATCGCACTAGTAAGTAAGAGTGAATCACATGACTCAACCATGTGATTAACCTTCAGTACGTCATCGCTGAAATATTTGACGTGCTGGATACAGGCTGCAGAGTAACATTAGTACATTCTCTCTTTTCAAATATAAGTATTGCTGTCATGTACAGTAATTATGGGTTTTCATGTGGATCCATGACAGGATTGTTTTCCCTTGCAGGACCCGAACCAGCGACGAGATTAGAGAAAATCGAGGAAACAACAAACAAAATCAGCCTCGCACTTGAGATTCAAGAGGGATTAAGAACGAAGCCTGGTAGGTGTTTTTTACTTAGTAATCGCTCCCAGCTGCTGTGGTGCAGCGACTACTTCTTAGTACGTGTAATTAATTAATCGTTGGGGTTGAGCGCTGCGATTGAAATATCAATGAGGATGCTAACAGTAAAAAAACAGGAACTACAGGAACTAAAAAGGAGAAAGGATGCGTGTGTGTGTGTGTGTGGGGGGGGCGGGCGTAACAGCTGTAGGTAATGTGTGAGTAGTAGTCCTGAAACTCGATTCTCACTCTGCACCGTGGATGTTGACGGCAGCTGTTGTGTTTCAGCGCTGCCGCAGGACTGCCGCGGTCTGCCCTGCCACAACGGGGGCACATGTGTGAGCCAAGGCGACTCCTTCGTCTGCGACTGCGCAGCCGAGTTCAAGGGCAGACAGTGTGAACTGCGTGAGTTTATGTGCTTCCACTCCTCTCGTACGTAAACAATTGATGAACGAATGAAAACTCAACAAGCCCCAGTGGTTCCAGATGTACGAGTTCATTACAACTCCAGTCTTGGTGCAGCATGCAGAGACACATTGACACCAGAACATACAGTAAAATGACATATCTCTACATAGCATAGAAGCACTAGAGTCTTCAGCTGGTGCTGCATGCGCTAACGTGCCGGTGGTGGAACATTTCCAATGCTCACGTCCTGGTTGAGCATGCTTAAGTCTGCCGTACTCTCCCTTTGTTTTTTACTTCCGAGAGTCCAAATAAAAGAAAAGTTGATTGGTATCATGTATGCCGGCCGCGTGAAGGACGTACCGTCCCGTCTTTCTCGCATGCCGTCCTGTGAGCCGACTCAGAGCTCTGAGCTGCGCAGACACCTCCGGCTCTTGAAAAAGCAGGAAACGCGCTCCGCCGGCAGTGGACCCCTCTGACATTTATAAGCAGCGTGGTTGACTTTGGGCATGAATGTACAACATGAGAAAAAACAAAGCCCCATTTTGCATTTCTAAGGGCGCCGCATGAGGCAGCGGTACATTATCTGTGAAGAATATCTTTCCATTTGAAAATGAGCCAATTAGGAACCGAAATGAATAACAGACCACACATTATTCAGTTGGTCTCCGTAAGTGAAGGTTTATTCTTTATTAAGATCATGTAACAGGTTTTGACTTTATTTAACAAAGACTATAAAAGTACACCGCACACTATAGAGCCTATAGAGACTTCAAGTAGCATCATTATGCCATGAGAACGTTACTGAAGAGATCGAGATGGTGTAGTGCCTGTAAAATGCTGTGGCTGCACGAGTTAATACTTTCCAAGGCGTCTTATGTATACGTTTATCTCCCGGGTTAATATCTCTGAAAATGAAATCACCTTGGGTCCACTACACGCCACCGATCCCAGCTGTGGAGACATTGGTACAGCTCTCTATTCATCAGGCCTATGTACTTTACTTGTGATTTTGTATGTATTTTTTATTTAATGTTTCGTACATTAACGAAACATTAAATAAACTTGAGTCTAAAAATAAAAGCCGATCTGTGAAAGAATCAGTCTAACACTAAGAGCACTATGAGCCTGATGCTGGTCAGGGGGGTTGATGAAGCTGTGCACGAGGAGACACTGGACATCCCCTCACCCCTCTTCCCTCCACCTAAACATCCAGCCTCAGTTTGTTTAAACATTCCTTTCCTAAAAGCATCCATCAGGCTCCGTCCCACATGACTCCTAAACCATCCAGCAGACTTTTTCACACATTGAAAAGAACGTCTGTGACTCACGTCGCGTGACTCTCTCCGATTTGCAGTGTGCCAGAGAGTGCCTCACCCCTGCACCCGACTCTACTCGGAGACCAAGAGCGTGCCCGTGTGGGAGGATGGCGTCTGCCACTACCTGTGAGTCCGTCGGGCCTTGCATGCTCCTTCTCATCACGGGAGAGGGAGGGGGAGGGGGCTGAAGGAAAGCAGAGCTCGTTTGTGACTAAAACGGATCGGCGCTTTGTCCTTCGCAGGTACAAAAGGACGTACAAAGTGCAGCAGGATGTTTGTTATCGGGAGATTTGTGAAGCGACGCCTCCAAAGAAAAGCCAGGGTGAGTTCAAAAAGAGGATTTAACGAAGGTGGTGTTAGCAAAGAACGCAATGCGACTCTTCTCACACGCCAATATTATCTCCCCCAACAGTCCGGAGAACAAACAGACAACAATAAAAGGTCTGTTTCGTCCACGCAATGTCCCCTCCACGTGTATGCACGAGGTTTCCAATTGTCTTAAAAATTAAAAATCTTTTTGTCTCATTTCTAGAGCACTTGGGTACCGATGAATGGACCGTCATCGCTGGCATGTGAAAAGCCCAAACTTCCCATCTTGTGTTTTTAATCTACTTGAACTAATTGATTATGTCCTGAGAAACATTTTTTTGATCCAGATCATCATCCATGTGGAAATAAGGCTGTTGTTGTTGTTGTTGTTGTTGTTGAGCGCCAAACCTTGTGAATTTACTTCAGTGGATCAAGTGTATTTTACGCACAAACACACAGATGTTGACGGTAAGCGGCCAGCTGTGCCGCATGGGAGAGCCGATATACCTCATGTCCATGTCCACGCTGACACATTAGGAGAGGTTTGTAGGACTCGTGATTCAGCCGCAGATGTTGTCCCTCAGGTTAAATAACTGTAGTGCTCCCAATCTTTTCCTCGTGCCCCCCCCCCACTGCCCCCCTCCTTATAAAGACGATGGGCAACGCATGCTCTGTCCTCACTCCATGAAGTCATCTCTTGCTCTGACAACGGCGCACAGTGTTTTCTGTGTATAAATATCTTTGTGTCCTAGCAGGCGTCACTGCTCGCTACGCTGTAAATAGTGTTTATAGGCCATTTTGTAGGTGAATATTTTAATAATAAAAATGTTAAAATGTGCTGTGCTTCCTGTGTCTCTAGATTATTTCCTATAAAGTGGATGAGGTGTTTTTTATGTAACCACTTTACTTCAGTCTGCTCATCATTTTGATGCCTGCTTTGGCGTCACCAGAAGGTCAATCGCTAATTGTGCTGTCGTTCATTCAATGGGAGAGTCAGCCGTAGTCGTAACTCGAGACCACCGATGGCAAGGTGGGGAAGTCTCAACTTGTCCACCCCCTTACTTCTGGTGTCTGTGTGCGGACCACAGCCGTCTTTGAACACAGACTTCATTTTAATCTCAACTACACGGTGGTAAAGTTTTGGGGTGGCATCTCGCACCACTGTGATGCTTCCACGCTGACATAATCTGTCCATCATAAAACGTCACATGTTGTTTTTATAGTTTATGGAGGGAAGAGAAACCAAAGCCTGTTTGACGCATGGTAACAGGCTGTCAATTCTACATATAATATAAAATACTTCCACTTGAAGTCAAATGCGTGTTTTATAGATGTTAAAAGAGTTTACAATGTTGAGTAACTGAAAAAAAAAACTAACTAATGGTAATCCACTTGCAGGAAGATACACGGGACAGCACCATCTCTCTGCATACATCAGCAGATCGCTTCTACATCTTAGGCCTCTTCATACACACAAGTGAAACGTTACTTGGAAAAACCTACATATAAGAAACTACAAAAGCAGATGCTTCCATGCAAAGCAGGAGGGCTTCGCTGAAGGACTTGGGTAAAATGATATGCTGCAGCCTTCACAATCACAAGATCTTAATCCTGTTGAAGGTCTATGGGAAATTGTCAGACTAAACTAAGGACAATCCTTAGGAAGAATGCTGTTTATCCCTCTGGTTGAATTCCAGGTGTCTGGTGTTTTGGAGGCTCCCGGTCACCCAGATTCTATGTATTCTACACACACTACATACCTTTAGAATTGTCTTTTTGTCATTTTATCTTGGTTTTACACCAAGACAGGTTAGTTGCCCACTATATTCCACTGTTCACATCAACGAGGGCCCGTGAGACTGCTGACATGCCCTCTAAAGCAGAAACCAACCAAAGCCATACACGATTTAATAACGTCCTTCAATAAACGCTGATGTCGACTACTAGTTTTGGCGCTCCTGGTTGAAGCATTTAACCCCCATGTATCTCTAAAAAAGGTGAACTTGTCATTACATTTCAGTATTTGCATTTGGACTTGTTTGAGAAAATCATCCCACTGCAGAGTTGTGATTTGTGTGAGGCCTTCATGGAACCTCGGAAAATGTGTCATGTTGTACGTGCCTTCCTTCCTCCTGCTCACTTTTTCATTTCGAGTGCTTATGTAATGTTAGCCCATTTCAACTGGAATTCCATTTAATGCCTCATCTTTATTCATACAATTATATTGAATACGACATCATACTATTGCTGATTTACCTGCAAGAGTCACAACTAAGTTGAAGGTAAAAAAAATGACAGCGAAATGAAAAGTATTTTAGATATGAATTTTGAAATATCTTTGGCCTCAGAGCTCAGATGATGTTATAAAACTGACACGATATATATTTGTTTTGTATTGGCTCATTCTTTGGGTTCGTTCAAAGTATTTCCGACGGCACCTGAAGGCAACACCACTTCAGTAGACCCCCCCGCCCCCTCCTGCTCCCAGTGAAAACTGAGATAGTGAGGAAAGACCATGGAGGGAGAAAACTGGACGTGTTAACGTCAGCTGCTCCGCGGCACCTTTTTGCCCACTTTCAAAGCGCCCCAATGCGGCGACATCCGGTACGTGTTGCGCGTGCCGGTTAAAGCGTCGGAAACCGTAACATTGACCGACAGTCCGGCCGAGGTCGGTTAGCTCAACCCGACGAGGGTTAGCCCGCTGCGGCTAACCTAGCCTCTCTGCTAGCAAGAAGCGACACACACACACACACACACACACACACACACACACACACAAAGCAGGCTAGTGGGAAAGTGGCGCCGCGGCGTGAAGTTACTCGTTATGTTGCCTCCCGGGATTAACTTCAGATACGGATGAGAAGGAGATCGGTGACCGGGGAACGACGAGAGCGACTGCGAGCCACACGACCACCGCCATGTCGGGGGTGATTCGCGGCTCCGGCAGCCCGCCTGAGTCCCGAGGTTGGCCCCACTCGGTGCTGCGGAGGCTCGGGGGCTTCTTCTTCCTCCTGCTGCTGGAGGGGGCCGGCGGCCTCGCCAACCCGAGCGGCACTTCTGGCGTCAACAACAACAACAACAACCAGCCGAGCGTCAACATATACATGAGTGTCGAGGAGGTGAAGAAGCTTTTGGGTAAGAAGGCCTGCGCGTACACACAGTTCTTCAAACTTTGTATCTATCTGTGTGTGTGGTCATACAGTTGTGTCAGTGCCCCCCCCCCCCTCCACATCTGCATTGGTCCTTCTAAAACACGACTGAAGTATCGCAAGTCGCTCTTCTCCTCCGGTGTGTGCGTGTAAACGTCCTTCGCCCCCCGGGAGAGGATTTCACTTTGAGCCGCAGTTTTCTGTAACAAAGTCTCCCTTGATGCTGTTGTCCATTACACATATGGACACTCGATAGCCTGAAATAATCATAAGATAACAGAGGGAAATACATTGACCTCTTGCCTGGAGTCCCTCGTGATTTGAGTAAATAGCTAAAATAGTAATAGTAAGTAAATAGTGCCCAGCTGGGCTTTAATTGATTTTCATGAGCTGTGCCTTCAGTATTTAGTGTGACTATAAAGATCACGGTGTAATTCTCGATTTAAAAGAAACCGTACATGTCGTGTGTGTCGATCTTCCATCGGAGCATCTTTCATGTTCAATGTGCCACACACAAGAAAAAGCAGAATGTTCCATCAGTAAGAAAAGAGGCTGGAAGCCTCACAGCTGCTGTGTGCTTCAGCATCAACCAGGACTGGTGCAAAAGGAAGAAGTGACTTGACCTTACGGTTACGAAGGGTTTGGTGGGGGGGGGTTGGAATCCATCAGGCAGCTGCAGGAGATGCACTAAGTTGTGTTATGATTTGGCGTGGCCGTATTAGGCTATTTGAACTACGCTATACACAGAGGTTTTCTTTAAAAGGTGGCTGGATCAGCAGAATGGACTGATTTGATTATTTTTCTTCACAGTTGGGCTGCTGGAAGTCAGTGTTTGCTATAAAAATGGCAAAATGTCCTTCATCCGGGTTCCAAGGTTGATGGTTTGGCCCCTGCCAGTTATTTCTGCTTTACTGTAGTTGGAACCAGTCATTTGCCACTCCGAGTGGCTCGTTTTTCAGGCTAATGACCGGGTGGAGGGGCCGGGGGGGGGGCGCAGTGCCTTTGTGCAGGGAGGATGCTGATGTTGCACATTCTCCAATGGACCTGTGCGCTGTAAATCCATCATCACCCTGGTAGCGGTGCATCCGCGTGCTTCCATCAGGTGGGCTTCAGGCAGATGCTGTTTTCAACAGGAAGTGGTGTTGCTTAACCCGTCGTGCTGTTGAGGCATTCAGGGCTTTTAAAATATGTAAATATATAAAGTATTAATCTACCTCTCACTCTTCTGTGTATATCTAAAAAATATCATTGCATGTCTCTCCTGCTCTTCCGTAATCTGACTCTCACGTGGTGAGGCCCTCTCAGGAGGACCGCTTGACTAAAATCAGTCAACGGGGATGATGGATAGGTGGAAAGGACTCTGAAGAAAGGTGATCTTTAGAGCGGGGCTACTTTGTGATTGACGGGTCACTTTCACAGCGTAACTCCTGACTTTGGGAGTTTCCATCAATCACTGTCTTACTGAGCATTTGATTACACTTGGCTCCGCCTCCTCGTGTCAGCAATGGTTGCAAAAAGCCCAGATGGGTGAGTACAAACCAATGGTAGACGCGTTCAAGGGAATCGTCAGCTCTGAGTACTCTTTTGGCAAAAGGCCTGTTATATTTAATCACATCTAAGGCAACAATTACCCAAAGTTCTAGTTAAGTATTAGCAAACGGGTCACATGGAGGCGGGTCACATTGGACCATGAAGCCTTGCTGTGCTCTCCCTCTTGGGTCCAGCAGCTGGCCTCGGAGCAGGTATGCGTCTAGATGAACTGAAGGCGTCATCGCGGATACTGTTTGCATGCGTCTGATGGCGAGATGCATTCCTGCCCTCAGCTCCCGTATCCGCTGCGTCTCAACACCCGCATCCAGGGCTCCGACTGTGTCGCAGCCGCCGGCTCATGTTTCGCTACCTAAGCCGTAGAGTCAGTCTTTTGGGCTCCAAGGCAGTAGAAAGGTGTATCTAACCAATCTAAACGTGTTGCTGGTTGGACACACTGAGACGCAGAGAGGTGGAAAGTGGAAACGGCTGCTGATTCGACTTCGCCTCATTGATCCAACTTGCCTGTGTGCACGAGTGTAGATTTCTGGAGCGTCAGGCGGGTCCACGATGCTCAGAACAGATAGTATCAAAAAGCATCAAATAAGGTCAGACGATCCAAACAAGTGGTCGAAAAGCCTCTCCGAGATCAGTTTGTCTTCACTCTGTCAGCGTAAAACCTGGTTACTGGGCCATCACGTAGCTGTGTTCTAGCCTGATACCCATGTTTTAGAGGGTTGTTAGGCTTTTTTTCCCCTTTTTTTTTTTTAGGAGAGTGTTTCTTTTTAATGTAATATATCGATTTATTTTTTCACCAGTAACACATAAACTGATTATTACAGATCAGAGCAGTCAAGGGTTCCCCGTTTTCCAGGCAGAAAAGAAATGGTCCAGATGGACCAAGGCACCTGCCTCATGTCAATGTTAACCAAGAGGGATTTACAATGTTTTCACCTTTTGGTATTAAAGCTTGTTCGGATATGCAACTATAGCTCAAGGACCAGCGGGGAAGCTCTACATTCACGGGCCTATGACGTCCCTCAGGCTTCAGTAGCCCCCCTCTCTCTACTTCCTGGCATCCTGAGGGTCCACGTGATCATTTGGAAGATGAGGGATGAAGTCAAATGACCACGTCTGTGCTTCCGCTTGCTGTCCCCTGTAATAATGGCCCTTGTGGAGCCCAGTATTCCTCGGTAGAGCAGAAGTTTCTCCTGGGAAAGTAAGCACCAAGAGATTCTGTTTCTTTGTCTCGACGGCTTACTCGCCGCGGCAGTGAGTTCAAGCTAAAGCACAGCTGGACCGAACAAGCGCTTTCCTGTTGAAATGCTTAAAGGGAAGAGAAGCAGCTTGTTGGCTCATTCTAATCGGACAAAACCTGGGATTACAGCTACCTCACATTTTGTGATCCAAACACTGTTTATTCCACTGACTTTTCTAGCAGGGGAAATAGCCAAAGTGAATATTATTTTCCACTCGCCCGACCAGTTGAGTGTTTCCGAGTTTGACTTGAATCTAGCTGAGCATGCACAAAACGGAACAGGGGTGTCAAACTCATTTTAGCATTGGGCCAGATACTGGGCCAGGCCATTAGAAATCATGTCCCGCCCAAATGGGCTGACTGGGGGGGGTTGGCGCGGACGGTCGACAGGGGCACGCAGTCATTTTCAAGCGGGCGCTGCTGCCTGGAGTCACGCCGTGGTGGAACAGGTCTAACACAGGGGTTCCCACTCTTTTTTCCGGCCTGCAAGCTACTTTTCACCCAACTTTTCAATCCAACTCATGGCGATCGCCCCTCACCCCCCCCCCCCCCCCTCCCCCGTCAGTTCGCCCGAATTCGAGCAGTAGCGGTGACCTCGTCTGTCCGAAGCGACCGCGCATGCCTCACCTGACATTTTCTTCAATGGGAGGGATCTACCTGCACTGCGTCTAATGCATGCGCTCACTCACAGTGCGACCCCCAGTGGACTTTTTAGGAATAGCAGCTACTTGTATAGAAATGCAATTTATGTATTTCTCACAATGGCGAAGTCATCCGGCGTCGCCACACTGGATTTGGCCCGCGCGCCTTGAGTTTGACACCTGTGGTCTAGAAGATATGAACTAAAATTGTCGCCGTGTTGCGAAGAGACGCCCTCTCCTCCTCCTCCTCCTCCTCCAGAGAGCTGAAAGGAAAGCGGGGGGCTTTGAAAAAGGAGGGCCTGTGACCAGCGAGGAGTGACTGACAGCAGCATTCATTTCCTTCAAGCCCTCTCCAAGGATCCTTGGGGTTGAATAGCGAAGCCCCCGCTTTCACCCCTTTTGTCTGAGAGCAGCAGCTCTCTGACAAAAGGTGGGTGTGTGTGCCTTACAGGAGCTTCTGTAACGTAAAACAAGCACACATTTCATAAATTGTCACTCGTGTGTTGAAATGTAAAATTATTTTTGTGCGCCCACAGCGAATGCCAGTTTTAGTGTAATTCCATTGAGACTGCTGCCATTTAGTGGCACCGATGTAATTCAGCTGTTATGTGGTGGAAATGAAGACATGAAGGAGTGGGAGATGTTGGAGTCAGATACTTCAAGCCTTCTTGTCTCTATTTTTACTACGGAAAACTTGGTAAACCAACTTTTTTATTATCGTGTAAAAAAGTGCAAAAACATGCGAGACTCCTCCCAAAAATACATCTCCTGAAGAGAGACCTCTGAAATGACCCAAAAGTTGTTAAGCTTCTTTTCAGTAAACCAGTTTGATATTTGTTGAGTAAACTAAGGAGCCCCTTTAAGCAACAAATAGCCACCAACCAGGAGCCTATGAAAGGCGCTCCTTCCATCACCCTCCTCCTCCCCCGCCTGCCCTCGGGGGGCCGTGGAAATAAAGGAAGGAAACTGATGTATGGTTGCTTTGAAGCGAATCAAAGACCAACCGCACAGATTGGGACCTAATGTGTTTTTACTTTCTAGCTGAGAGACGCTTTCATATGCGAGGATTTCCTCTCCAGAGAAGGTGCGCTCCATGCTGGCGCTCCACATCTTCACTGCACCCTCCATGTGATCTCTGCACTTCAATACTGCTGCTTTTCTTTCAACCGCGGGACGCTCGTCCATGGGAAGCAAGTGAAAACGCCTCTATAGGTTTTACCTAGATTTTCCTCAAAAATCAGCAAAAGGAAATGTGAGTCTATTTGGGGGGGGGGGGCGGCGGCGTCTATGTCTTCTGTCAGAGTAAACCAGAGCGACTGCCGTGGCGTTCTTCTCGTTTCCCACAGAATTAGCTAATAGGCAGTAAGTGGGCGCCAAGATTCTTTGCAAACAATCACTGCGGGCCTTGTATGGGAATGAACCTCGTCTGCAAAATGTGTCACTGGAGGCCCGTCGCTCCGCTGAGGGGGGGCAGTGCAGTAGTCTGCATGTTCCCTACTACAGGACAACTCTGATGACGCTCAAGTCTCGTGCCAATCCTTCCGATTTTGTAATCAGGAGGAAGAGATGCCCTGAATCTCTGAGAGCAAACGGTGACGTGGGAGTACCGTCTTCTGGAGTGGATGGTTTTACTGCACAGGGTCGCTCCCGTAGGAGGGTTAGAACCCTGGTGGCAATAATCTTACTTCATAAAGTAATATGTTAATCAACCTACAGGGTTACTTTTCATGATGTGTGTTTTTCTTACCGACCAACAGTTGTGAGTGACATCTTTTGACCTCAAGACCTTTGCTACATTCCCCCCCCCCCATCCCCCTGCCTGTGAATTTGTTTGCAGTTTCCAGTTGATAGTTTCCTTCCGGCGCTGTTTTTCTCCTTTCCATGGTTGAGGTCGGCGGCATCTTCCCAGTGCGGGGGGGTTTTATCTCCCGACCACTCAAGGATGAAGGCTTCTGGAGGCCGAGTGTCGACTGTGCGCACAAGAAGGTCTTTGTCATATGCGTCCTGGACCGTACCACCTTTTGTTCTCCTCTTTCAAACCCGTCCGTTTGCAGGAGAACACTGCTGTAGATCTCAGTTTACAGAACCCCCAAACTCTCAGATAAAGTCAGATGCTGCAGTACGTCCTAGTTTTGTTGTGACATCTGTATAAAAGGAACAAGCATTTTATGTGGGTTTTCTTTTGTGTGCGTCGATGGCGAGTTCACCGTCTGTACAAGTAGAGACGTGGGAGGAGGGGGAGTCGGAGAGTAATCCTCTCGCCCCTCCCTCAGCCGAAAGAAGTGTCAACGTGCCCCGTGAGCAAAGCGCTTCCATTAGGAGGGCTGATTGTAGTGGGCCGTTTTTATGTGTTGAGGAATGTCATGAGGGCGTTAAGTGGAAAGAGCAGAAACGCTTCCTAAAACTGTACGTCAAACTATCTAAAAACATCTATAAATTCATTTAAAACCTGCTGTGCGTTAATGGCTGAAGCTCCCCGAGTGTCAGCCCCAAAACACAAGCACAGACCTGGAAATGAGCAAGACATGTGTCCTTTAAAGGCCCCACACTTCTCTTTGCACTGGTGCTTTTCCACTCGGCACAGCGCTGTCACATGCTAAAGCGATCAGAAAAGCTGTGTTTACAGCAGTCAAAGGACCAGCACCAGTCAAAGGAAGCGAAGGCGAGCACTGCACTGCCCACGCGACAGCATAATCAGCCCATCAAGCCATTCGTGGATCTCTGATGTCATTTCATTCACCAGGTTGCAGCGGTGATTTTAGCAGTTGGTTGTTATGGTTGCGTCTCGCGTGCGGGGCGAGTGATCCATCCGTGAAGCCTCTTTTTAAACAAACGTGGTTGTACAAGTCCGAATGTGCTCGCTGATTAAGTGACTTACTGACTTCTTATTTAGAATAAGTTTTAAAAAAAAAGGGTTTCCAGAGACGTTGATGAACGAGTGCACCGATCGATTATTTGGGTTCATTTGACTAATATTTGCTGCAATCTATTTCACATTGTGCTAAAATATGAAACTAGAGGATTTACTGTAAACATAGTTAGATTTTAGTCATTATTCCTGGAACTACGGGTACTTTCAGATCGGTGCCGGAGCTCCAGCGTGTTCCACCGCAGCTATTGTTAATCCCTTGACACCGGCATGGAGAAATGGAAAAGTCCTGCAGGAAATAATCCCTCAAAGCACTAACCGTTGCCAAGTCATCGTGCCGGAATCCAGAACCGTGTTGTTCATTTTCCAGCAGCAGCAGAGAGGCCCTGGATATGTCGCTACCGGACGCTAACTAGAGACAAGCCCGATGACATCTTCTGCCAAGTGCCGTCCCGTTATTCCACGAGGACGAAACTGCAGCGCGTGGTTCCACTTCCTTATTCCCCCAGTCTGAGGACACTGACCGGCCCCTCATGTTCCTTTTTTGAAGTTGATTGCAGTTTGGGGGGAACGTGGGAGGGTCCTCTTTGGGCCGTTCATGCCTGGTTGCAGAGTTACATTTATTATCAAGGCCACACGTTGAGAGGAGGGAGGCAGACGGGGCTTGCAGAATTATCCCGTCGTGTGCACGCATCTGTGGCCTCTAGTGCCTGCACAGGTATATTTATGTGCACAAAATTTCAGTGACGCAGCCTTTTCCAATTGTCGAGTTGCTTATTTAAAAGCATCTAGAGCAGGGGTGGGCAAACGTTTTGGCTCAGGGGCCACATTGACTTTTAAAATTTGACAGACGGGCCGGCCGGTATCAGATGGATGGTGAGTGTTTATGTCAACCAATATAAATTATAAGTCAAAACCAATAACTAAAAAGTGAACATTTTTACATTACATTTCAGCGGGAACAGTGTTGTTACTCCCCCTTTTGTGCCAGTGCATGATAGTTTGGTGTCAGCTTTCTTCTGGCAATTCTCAGGACAGATCTGAGATGTTCATCCGGGATCTGTGGCGTGATTTGTTGGTTTTCATCACGCTGGACGTCTGCTCACACGCGTAAGTAGAGCCAAACAACAGCAGCATCGTCTGTTTGCAAACTTGGCTTCGCTTAGTGAAGCATAGAATTCAGCCAGGAGGAGGTTGAACTTCTCCTTTAAGACGGCGTCACATTGAAGATCAATGAGTTCCAAGTCAACTTGGCTTTGAAGGCTCTCACTCTCTCATTTGTGTACATTTTCATGAACAGACTGATCTTTCCCTTGTAGCTTCATGTTCCGCTCATTCATGTGTGTCAGTGTGTCCACAGCAAAATCACAAAGCCAACCTGCGTCGCTCAGCTTTGGAAAACCCGATTGTTATACTGAGCGCGCAGGGCGGCGCAGTCCCGTGGGTCTGATGTGCGTTCGTTTTTGCCGTATAAAACGGACCATGTCCCCGTGGCGCGCTTGCCTGTGTGGGGGGTGAGCGGCGCAGACAGCAGCAGCTGGACTCGCAGCCTGATGCGGCGCAGAAAGCACGGCACCGCTGTCCTCTGCCGCACGGCACGTAAAGACCGCCGTAACGCGTCTCCGTTCCCGACTTGAGTTAAGAAACATCGATGCTGGTCTTTTGCCGCCATCGTGCTTTGGGAAACTCCTGTCGGAAACGGAGAAGTGTTACAGCGGTCGTTACTATAATTTATAATTCATAATACTCGGCGGGCCGGATCAAAACGCCCAATGGGCCGGGTCCGGCCCGCGGGCCGTATGTCCAAAAACTTTATTATTCAGATTTACTGTTTCGCATTGTGCCTCATCAGTTCTCCGATGCAAAAGGCCGTTAAAAGCTGTAAAAGTGGACAACCCACCTACTCAAAGTTAACGACCAACTACAAAAGAGACGGCGCTATTAGTGGGCTCCGTGGATCGAGGTCGAGTCGCGTCAGTCCATGTGTCATTTGGACAGGGGCCACCTTGCTTGTTCGCCCCCGGGATCAGTGGAGGGATGGGTGTGAAAGGGTGAATGATGAGATGTGGTGAGTGAAATGAGATGTGCAAGTAGTGTCTGTTTATTACAGCATAAGAAAAACCCTGGTGATTCATCTTGTAAACATGTTCTAATGGGAACCCAGAGTACGAGCATGAGCCTGAAATGAGCACAATGTCCCCTTAAAGTTTAAATTAATGTCTCATAACTAACACATTTTTTGTACATGCAAAGACCTACTTTTTCCATTTGAACCATTGGTTTTAGTAAAGATGAACAAGTAGCAGTTTCTTAGTAAATGGAAAAGGCTGGACTTTGATTATGACTCTGATCCAATACCTGCTATAAATATCATGATACCGATACTTACGATACCACAAATACTGGTATATTCAACTATATTAGTAATACATTATGTTTTACCAGCTGGTTCTTGGCCAGCTTTCTAAACACTTAACAAACTATTAGTATAAATGAGAACTACACGGTACCACCATTGATACCACCACGCGAGGCCGCGTCTCCCCTGAGATTCCTCGCTGTGAGCTCGCGCTTTGCAGCCCCGCCTCCTGTCAGTCAATGCGTGCAAGCAGCATGACTCAGCGGAGCAGTGAGCGTGCTGTTCTAAGGAAGTATTGATACTAAAAATGTTTCTTATTATTTTTAATGTAGTTTTTTGGGATCGATACAGCAGCACAACATTTGTTGGACACTAGTTTATGCAACACCCCCCCCTCCCCCCTCCCCCCTCCTCCCTCCGAGTTGGTAAACGCCCGAGAATGTTTTTAATTGAGCCAATGTGAGAAAGGTCTTTGAGCCGGATCTCTGAGGCAGCCCGAGGGTATCGGGGGAGCCTGGGCACATTCTTCCCCTCTTTAAACTAGATACTCACAGCCTGACAGACGGACGCTTTCAAGGACTGATAGCTCTGCCTCGAGCCAGGGTCGGGGGGGTTTCACCATTACAACATGAGACATTGGACATGCAGGACTGTTTGATGCAGCAGGGAGAGCGAAAGCCTTGCTTTGGCTCGACTTAACTGACGTGTGAATGGTTGAACAGACTGCGCGTTGTCTGAGGCATTCCGACCCCTTCCTCTTGACCCTTCCCCTGGACAATCGGGTTTCCTGCATCCAAAATTGCAATCATATATGGATGTCGTCACTTGGACGTTTTTGAAGTGTTTCACTTTGGGCGCTTAGAGGTCTCGAGTACAAACAGATGTGGTTGGTCCATCTCCTTTATTGTGGAGACCCCCACCCCCCCTAATCCAGGCTGGCAGTGTGGGTGGATATCTGAGCATTCTCCTCAGGCTGTGTTTAAATCCGCCTCTGTGTTGTCTTCAATGCCCGGTGTGCTGTTCTTTCTCCTCCTTGTGGATTTCCCAAGATATTTCTCATAAGATCCAACGTTACGCTCTGTGCCCTCCACAGGCCTAGACGCAGAGCTCTACTACGTGCGAGACGACGTGGTGAACCACTACGCGCTCTCCTTCACCCTGCCGGTGCCCAGCGAGACCAACAGCCTCCACTTCTCCTGGCATTCCAAGACCAAGGTATGTCTCCGGGTCACTTATCGATCCGCCACGTCGACACGCGCAAGGCATTCCTGTGCTGACGGCTTCCCTCCGTGTGCAGGTGGACTACCGGCTCGGCTTCCTCATGGAGAACCCCGTTGCCATGGACCAGCCGCGGAGCAACATCTCCACTCAGGGGGAGGTGCCCCGTGTTCCCTCTGGTTTGTCAAATACCGACCTTTTAGTTCTCGTGGATCCCAGGATCCCACATGCTTTCAACATGGGGTTTTAAATCTAACCGTGTCAGTGGTAGTTTTTTGAGAATGATGTCGCGTTTTAGTTGCAACTCAGTAACGCAGCAGTTTTCTATTAAAAAACACTTGGGTATTTTGTGGAGCTTGAGACCTTATGTTAAGGCTGGCCCATAAAGATACTTCAAACCAGCATTAGATCAGTTTGGTGCACTAACATTCGGAAAATGAAGAAGAGCCGCACACTTTGAAGTATTTTAGCCCCATTCAAATTAGGGGAGGTCTGCGGTGCCCTTCATCGATGTCTAAGGAGGGCTGGATACAGCTACAGAGGGCCGGGGGGGAGCATGAACCCTAAAAAGGTTGTCTTCCGAGTATAAAATGACCCCGCGCAGGCGCAGTGGAGCTTCCTTCATCACCACCACTTGGCCCTCAGTCCAGCATCTGTTTGATTAACATCAACACAGGAAGAAAACAACTCCAAACAAACTGCTGCCATCCAGGATCTATAAACCTGCTCATTACTTTGTTATATTCCCTCGTATTATCCACATAAAAGTGAAAAACGCTTCAAAGTCTTCATCCGGTTGGAGGTCATGTCAGTCGGGTCTCTGGATGGGGTCGTTTGTGTGGCGCCATGCGGCTCCAGCGCTGGGTGCTACCAGGGAGTCTGTCTGCAACTACAAACATAAACAGCTCAATTCCTTTCAAGAATGGACCTGGACGCGAGGGCCTTCTTAACGAGGCCTATGGTGCTTCAGTCAAGATATGGAGTGGCTTGAACCTCAACACCTGTTTTGGTGCCTGACTTGCGTCTCTGTATGTTGCCTGGCAACTGGTTGCTCTTGCAAATGTCTGATAAAACAGGATAGAAGCGGTGTAAACGGGGAAGTTACACACTTCTGTCCAACTCAATATAAACTAGTCACCCAAAGCCGCTGTTCAGCAGTCTCAAGCATCTCCAACATGTGTGTGTGTGTGTGTGTGTGTGTGTCTCTACAGTCTTCAGAGTGGACCTCCTCTGTTCCGGCAAAGTGGATGGAGAGGCCGTTTTGACGGTGCAGCTCAATCTGACCGTCCACGCCAACAACTACACAGTGCTGGACTTCAAGAGGAGGAAAATGTGCTACAAAAGTGAGTCTGTTTTGGTGGTCCGCTCATAAGGTGGTGCAGCCATGTACAGCTTTTTGGTGTCGTGCATTCGGCTCTGTGCTATTTTCAAATCTTGAGATGATTGCCTGTGGCCAAGAGGCTTCTGGCCATGTTCCCCTCGGAAGCAAATGTATCCGCCGTCTTATTTTGAGCACGAGTGATCTTCGCTGCCATAAGATTCTTTGTGTTCCCGAGGAGCTCGGAGGTGCAGGGACGTGCTCTGAGCTCATTGTCGTTTTGAACTGCAGGAACCCAGAGATTGTTTTTTAGGAACTCGGGCGCTTAATGTCAAGAAATGCTATTTCAGGTTTGATTGGCTTGGCTTGTGAGGTTGTCCTTTTCCTGTCAAATGGGAACTATCGGCGTTAAGAAACACACTTCTCTCTCCTGCTTTTTTAAATCTCTTTATCTTATCGGTTTGAGGACTAAGTACACAGGAGTAGAAGCTCGTTTAATGTCATTGGCTCTTCAATGACCGTAATGTTATGTCTTATGCTATTCTCCTAATGACAGGATCTACAGATTTGGGACTAACTTTTCGTGACTAAAGCAGCAGAAAAAAGGCAACGCTTCAATCATCACCTTCTAAGACCGCCATTTAGCCGTTTGGTGGTTTTTATTTCCCTTTGAGGCTTCCGCATTTTCTTCTTTCAACACAGAAAAAAATGCCACAGAAAAACATTTGTAAATCACACAGACCACATTTACAGCGTTATAGTTGTGTGTGCGAAACTGGCTTCTCACACTTGGCGGTTGCTTTTTTATGCTCATCGGGCCGATCTTATATGTGTAACTGTGTTCCAGCCTCTTTATTAGGATGTATCAAAATACTGACCGTGAAAACTTATGAGTGCATGTTTGTACACACCACTTATCTGATGCATTGAAATATTTGAATGGGGTTGTTTTTTCACAGCAGTGGCCCTCCTGCGAGGTTTTATTTTCTGGTCTTTTTTGGTGTGCAAATAACGAGATGGCATTTATTTAACTAAATCTATAATTATGTAGCTGGATGTTGAATATGTCTAACTGTTGCGCACACGCAGAGAATTCACTGTTGCGCCAACATCTCAGGCCTCTACGAGAATCGTCTGTACAAGCAGTACAAAAGAATGAGTTTAAAGGGATAGTTTGTGTTCAGCGCCTCAGACCTTGGCTGTCGCTTTAATCTTTGCAGCCTGTTGGCGATTTCTCTTGTTATTGTGAACAAACATGAAACCTTCTCACCTACAGACGAGGTCTGTCCTTCTGTTCGGGAACTTCAACACCTTCAATTAAAGACTTATGTAATTGGGAGCCATATTTTTTACTAGTTCATAGTTACTATATAAAGTAAATAGTTGTGTGAGTGAAGTCTGCCATTCAATTGTCAGAAAAGTTGATGTATCGATTGTCCTTCCTGCTCCCTCTGTGAACAGGATTAGACGACCAGAAGAGTCCCGTCCCCCTCAACAACAGCACTCTGCCACGGCCGGACTGTGAGTACTCCCCTCCGCCTCAGGCTCCGCGCGTCCTAGTCGGCCCGATAAGACAGCGGCCAAGTCCCTGTATGTGGCCCTGCAAATTACCATCATCGTAGGATTCATTCTCCTGTTGAATTGCACTCCCTCCCCCGCCCCGTCTCCCTTGGATGGCCTCTTCCAGTAGGATTTATGCAGCTTCTTTGTGCCCCAGTAACAAAGTGCCATTAGAGGTTGCTCTCCCTTCTGCTTGGGTAGGCCCGAGGAACCTGGGGCCCTCCGATGAGAGAACCTCTCGGACTGGATGCCGAGCAAAGCCTCTACTCTTCCGCGTCTATTCCATTAACCCTAAGTGGAGCCCCCCCCTCGCGTCTGTCTCATCGCCTTAACCCATGTCTTTGCTCTGCAGTTGAGGCTCTGGCTGAATCGAGGACGGTATTTGCGTGCCAGTTTCCCCATATACCGTGTCTGATTGTTAACGTGCGGCTTGCTTTCATCAGATGGCGTGACCACCACCCCCACCACCTCCACCCAGGTGTTCTACATAAGCGTCAGTGTCTGCTGCATTGTCATCTTCCTGGTGGCCATCATCCTGGCCATCCTGCACCTGCACAGCATGAAGAGGGTGGAGATGGAGGACAGGTTGGTCTTTTTGTTATGTATGCCAACGAAGCTGGAACACTGATGAAAAGCAGCACAGCGGACTTACAGCCACGTTGTAGAAGCTACGCTGCCATTCGGAGCCCCGCAAGAATAGGCCGTCTCCACGGAGACCATTGCACCAAGTTGAAACCTGCGCGTATGTGTGTTGTTCACGTCCTGTGGTTCCCACTCCAGATGGCTCCGCTGGTCAGCGCACATCGATGCAAACCGTTAGGACAGTGGTACATTTAGGATTGTATGACGGTTGTTTTCTTGCATTCTTTGGAAGTTTGTCTAAATTTAGATGCTGTAATGTTGTTGGGCCAAAGTGGCTTAATGTGATCCCGTTGCTCGATGGGATCCTTGTTATACGAGAATATCCTGTATGTATGCCAACTTCAGAGCCTCTAATTAAAAAATAACTCCAGTTTCTGATAAGCAGCAGGTCCATCGTTGAGGATTTTTTTTGAATTCCTCACATTTTGCTAGTTTTTACTCAAATGTGAATGACCCAGTTTTTAAACGAGGATGGGCTTAAGTTAAAGGTCCGGTCAAAGAGCAGGCCGCAGCTGCTTTAAAGATCAAAATGAGCCTGGTTTGATCAGAAGTGGAGATTTACACATTGCTGAATTAAAACACACTTATTTTTCATAAGAATAGTTGTTATGAATCGTTTTCACCGCTGTGAAATGGTCTCTGGTCGTCGTACCTGACCCGACTTGCAACTTGGAAATGCAATTTAATAAATATGTGTACTGGGAAGATGTTCAATTACATTTGACAATAATCATACAATATGACTCAAATCAGGAGGGTAATTTGGTGTAATTCCTCTACATTTAATCAATTCTTCTAGACTTCAGCAGGTACGTTTAATACTCTGCAGGAGTTCATTGCTTCTGATTGAGGCAGTCGCCACATAATCAAGACCGCCCTGTCTAGTGAATCTACTTCTTTTAAACTAGCTGGACTTTACACACTAATTTAGAAATGAATTTTGTAACTGCCGGTGCCTGTGAATAACTACTTCATGCTCTTCCTCTGCCGTGTTCAGCGTGAGTGACAGCGGCAGCTCGCAGGGCCTGTCCCAGCCGTCCACCCAGACCACACAGTACCTGAGGGCGGACACTCCGAACAACGCCGCCCCCGTCACCAGTAAGAGAATTCACTCCTTCACTCTGCTGTACCCAAAAGGGCAGTGAGGCCGCCACACGGTTCAGGTTAAGAACATTCTTGTAGAGGTGATCACACTGCAGAGACGACGCCTTGGCGGGCTTAAGTACATTCAGGCGGATTCGCTCTCTCGTCACGTTGGCATGTGCATGCTTTTCTCAATGCGATAATCCACCCAGTTAGCTTAACCAGTGTCATAAGACTGTAATGAAGGAGCTCAGCAGTGATGTGCTCTGTGTTTTCCTCGCTGCGGCTCATATGACCTTCTGAGCGGCGTGTTGACGTGCGCGCTGTGGGCTCCGCTTCAGGCCAGCTGCTCAACCGTGAGGGAAGCACAAGCTCTGTTGGAATGGATGATGCGTGGTGGGAAACGCGTAGCGTGACATATTTATAGTAAAGTACACTCCGCAACCATAGAACTGTTGGGATTTCAGCCATAGCGCACTTCCTCCAGCAGAGCTCTTTGTTAGTGCTCTTAGGTGGCACAGTGATTACTCACACAGCCTTCTGTTGTCTGCCACTCGCTGTAATCATGGGCAAGTCTGTAATGTATTAGTGAATGGAAGAAAACATAGCATGCTTTGCATTTTAAACATGGCACGGATCAATTTTCTGTTTGCCATGTGGATTTGGCGGTTTATTTACTGTGATTCCAGTGTAAGTGATTGGGCCTTAAAATGGGAATCAGGGTTGCAACGATTAAAGGGCCGCTATGTTTGCAACAGCTGACTTTTTGACAAATATTTCAGTATTTGCCTGATCATAATACACCAACCACCTATTTCACAGTGCATACCGATGCTTCCCTGTGGTGCCTTTTTTGGTTCCATGTAAGCAACAGATCACTTTGTGTTTCTAGGGAGGATCAGTGCCTCTCAAGTCTTCCTCTTGAATACAACATGTGTTGTATTCTGCAAGCGAAGGAAAACGGGGACATGAAGCAACACTTTGTTCCTGTGTGACGCACTACGAATTAAGTTGAGCTGGTCTGAAAAAAGTCAAATATTAAGGACATCAATACCTCCATGAGTGAGTGAGCAATACTTTAATGTATGCCAACAATGTAGCGGGAAAAGCTCTGCAAATCCCACCGTCCCCCCTAAACCCCGAGACCTGACCTCTGACCCCTCGGGGACGGACGTCTCCTGGTAAATGGCTGAGTGTGAGATTCTGTGAGGGCTTGAAATGGTGGAAATATGAATGGCACAGCACTTTGCTGCCACATGGCAAGTCGGCATGACAACATCTAATAATATGATTTATAATTAGGGTATTTATTTGATATATTTCACTCGTCTTCATGGCTCTTTCCTCATAAGACGAGACGTCATTTTAAATAATGTTGTACTGATTTTCGTCACAACAGCTTGAATGACAAAATTAAATATTTGGGTTACTTGGCAATGACTTGTGGGTAATTCATCGAATACTGACTGGTTCATTAACGGTTAAAAATGTCTGCCACAGAGCCACTAACCGGCTATGCTCCATATATAACAACAAACTGGCTGTGTCCACTGGGAACATCTGCCCACCAGAACCTCCAAGGGTCACTTACAGATAAAAATAAGTGAAATAAATTGCCGCACAACTGCTGCAGAACACAAAAGTTATTATGACCCATCCTTGTACTCCAACATTATCAAAAGCACCATTTCTTCTCTGACCCTTTCAAAGTTTTCCTGTAAGATAATTGAAGGAAATGTTTTTTCCCAAATGTTGATGTCCTGGCAAAGTATTTGTCAGCGAGATTCCCAGGTACTTTCCTCTAGAGGGGCAGCTGTTCATACAATGAAAGCAGGAATGCATCTGTAGTCAAACCTCATCTTGACCTCACGTACACATTCATACCTGCTGTTCATGTGACATGCGTCCTGCTGCCTTATTGTGACTCTGCGATCCTCTGTTGCCCTCTTGTGGATACAAACCCACATCTCGCCTGCTGTGCATTTTCTTTGACCCCCCCCCCCCCCCCCTCACCCACGCATGGCTTGTTTGATTTGAAGCGGTGTGTATGAGTGGACAATGTACAAACACGCCAGTAGGCATCAATCCATTCGCTCGGGTCGTGTTGTAATTTGGGTGAGCTATCCATTAAACCACCTCTTTCTCTCACCCCCCCTTCCCACCCCTCAACCTCTACTGCCTCCCTTGTCATCAGACAATCACCCTGGTTCTGCACCCATACTCCAGCTTGCTGCCACCTCCTTCCAAAACCCCGGCGCCCCCCCACACGAAACCAAAAGTAAGTTCCAGTCGAGCCGCAGAGACGAGTTCACACGATCATCATGTGCTCGCTTAAACACTCTGGACGCTTCAACCCCGGCCTCGACGTGCTAATAGTGAAAAGAATTACTACACTTCTTCAATAATCTTAGATGACAGATGGACGGATTTATCTGATTTGTCGTGAATACATTGTTTAAGAAAATGTATTTGGTGTAACTCAAGTTGTTCACTACACTCCCCCCTTATCCGTTCGGAGACCCAACTACCTGCGTCTGTTTAACGGTATACATTATATTATTATAGGTCCGGCCACTCGGCAGTATATAAAATACACACTTAAGTGCAGTACTAGTTATGATTCTCCAATTAGATTATATTACATACATTATATTATATTACTTCATTTTATATATATATATATATATATATATATACTTTCATGCTTTCTGTGAGCCCTTTTGGTCCTTGACATTTAGTTTGATGTACTTTTAAATATACTTTGAATGCACAACTTTAGTTGTAACAGTTTTTTTACGAACACATAAATATCAGAATAGTTCCATCACGGAGTAGGGCAGCAACACTCGTCTCTGGCTGTGGTCATACTACCCCCCCTCAGGCTTTCTATGCATTCCTTTGCTCTGGATTGGGGAGTATTTTTGCTAGAAAATAGGTTTCCTCTGTGTGTTCGCCATGTGTGTTCCTACTGTCATTATTTATTTCTGTATGTTTTTTTTAATCCTCATATCACACCCTTTGTATTCTCCATCATTCTCTGCAGAGAATACATGTTACTCTCCGTTTGACCTCTAGGGGGCAGCATTGACCTGTACTGTGTGTCACTATACGATCAGCAGATATGTAACCTTTTAGTCACCGTAACTTTACCCGGCGCCTCCCCTCTGTTCTATCAACGCGCAGCGCTCGGGGAGGCCGGCAGTTTACCTTGAGTCGTCCCTCATCACTGACATGTTGTGAAACACAACGTGTGTTGATGTAATAAGGGACGTTTTTTTTGTGTGTCTGTGGGGAACTTTGTTTAGAATAAAATCACTTCTCCTCAGCAAGCCAGCAGCTAATGCCGGAGTGAGTACTTATATGGGAGGTTATGTGTATAATTATGATTCTGTAACACTGGACGCTGATGCAACGTGTGCCTGCTGAATCCAAAGGCTGTTCTCCTCAGGGACACTTGGTTTCCCCTGCACTAATCCGGGTCACAGGACGTGTCAATCCCCCTTTTATTATGTGATTTGTTTACATGTAGGTGTGTGTGTGTCCTACCATCCTCGCAGGTTACCCATCCCTCCGGATTGAGAAGAACGACCTGAGGAGCGTCACCCTAATGGAGGCCAAAGCTAAGGTGAAAGACATCGCCATCTCCAGGGAGAGGGTCACATTACGGGACGTCCTGCACGAAGGTATTAGTCTCTCTTGATCCCGCTTCCCTTATTTTTTTTTTGTTGTCTCTCTCCGTCCCGCCCACGCTTCTGCTTTTGTAGAAAGATGTGAACATCACTTCAAGAATGTTCTGCTGCTGGCGCTTCTAAGAGCTGCAGCTTACAGATTGTGTCATGCAGCGTTTTGCGTCATAATTCTTCAATGTGTCATATTTGTCTTTAGTGAAAAGGAGTTACTAAAAGAAACCAATAAAACCAATTATAATGTATGTCTCCTGATTGCATAAGTCTTTGAAAGAGGGTTGAGGTTTCTGAGCAGACGGACAGACCTTGTCTCGAGGCCTTAACGAGTAGCTCTCATGTTTGTATGAGAGAACTCGCCAACGATTAAAGCGATAGCGAAGGTTATATTATGGCGCACTAAACACAAACTATCTTTAGTTTAAACTCTTTAAACCTTTAAACTCTGGATTCTTTTGTACTGCTTGTACTGGTGCATACTTATTTGTATTTAGGCATTTGTGTGTCCGATAAAAAGGAAAGATGGCCTATGAGCAGGAATGCTGCTTTTCTTCCCTGGTGCGTGTTTGCGTGCCTCGTTTGACGTGTCAGTAAAATCTGGCGTCAAAATCTGTGTCAGTAAAGTTTGTCCTCGCCGAGGCAAATCTGATATTGACAGAATGGAGACGTTTCTAACGCTGTTGCTTTGGCTTTGTGTGAAAGATAAACTTGTTTTGGTTGGAGGAGAATCTTTCATCACTTGAGATGGAACCCAACAAGACTGTGCTCGGCTCTCTGGAGATTTGCCCACACTGGGGTCCAATGTGGCCGTGTGCGCGATGCAACCGTTACCCCCGGGGGAGTGAGGGGGGGCACACAATGGAAGGGAAAAGTGTGAGTGTGTACTGTTTTTTTCACTTTAAGGGCCTCTGACGGTTTATGGTTGTTGTTTCTGCCTGGAACAAGTTTAATGAGTGACCGTTTCTTCTGTTCTATAAGATTCTATTGGCTGTTTTGAAATCAAAATAGGTCATGTGAAGAGTTTTTATCTGGGGTGGGGTCCACTGGCCGGTAGGGCTGTCATCCAAGATTGTATATTCAAGTATATATTCAAATTATAGAATATAGAAAAAAACTATTCGAATGTGAAAATTAATATTCAAATGTAAAAAAGACAACAGCAGCAGCGGCGCGACTGCTTTTGCGGGTGGACCCGCGCCTGACTGTATAGACTATATATTGCATGAATAAAATAGCCTAGATAGGCAACAGCTTCATGCACCGGTTTGATTATTTGCCGTGTCATGCCAAGGAAAAGTCCCGTGTTTACAGCACAGCTCGCTCGGAGCGTTCAATGTCGGTACTAAACAATGAAGCCTGCGAGCAAGAGACCAAGATCCTGGCCATTAGTAAATTTACTTATTTTATTATTTTTTAAAGCGACTCTTCGAACGTCATTTTTGAGCAATTTTGACAGCCCTACTGGCCGACCAGAGTTTCTCTGAGACTGGAGCGAGACTAGAAGAAAAGGTGATGTTGTGATGAGCCGTGGCCAATCAGCATTGAGACATCTACAGCTGTGTTTCCCTACCGTTCTGTCTGGCGACTTATTGATGTGTGTTATTGGAGACTTTTCTGGTGTCTGAGGTGAAGGCACGAATCGCTCTGCAGCTCCTGAGCAGCGCCTCGCTTTAGTCTGAGCAGGGAGGATCCTTCAGCGTCCATTACAGCGCCGCACGCACCCCCCTGACTTTTCAATTCCTGCCAACGGAATTTGTACAAATCCAATTGACAGCCCTCACGTTACTTATATTCTGATGTCAAACGTTAAGGACTTCTAATAATCTGCTCGTCAGGAACTCTGTTCGGGAGGCGATGTTCTTGTCGATCTGCATGAATAATACGAGTGATTCGTGCCATTCAATGCGGATCCTCAGAAGCTGCAAACAGTGCGTAGCTTCTATTCACTCCGGGTGCTTTGTCAGTTCACCGGGAAGAGCGACGGCCTGGAATCACTCCTACGTCAGCCGCCACTTAGACGTCCTGTCTGTACCTGTCAAGGCCAAAACACGCCGTACGCCACGTGTCAAAACGGCTGCGCCTGTGTTTTTCAAGCAATTATTTTCATTAGTCATTAACTTGTAACTGGTGGTGTTCTGCCAATAATATGCTATTTGTAACGGTTGTCATTTATTGGTGAGATCTCTGTAAACATTCTATGACTCACCAGAAGCATGAAGTTTGGTTTCCCCGGGTGGGCCGTGACGGTGCACGATGACCGTTGCCAAAACTGCCCAAGTCTCTGTGACTTGGCCTGTTTTACGTCTGTTACGTGAGTTTGTAGAATGTCACTGAACAGGAAACCGGCACAGAACTCCAACGCAAGAAGCGTGTTTGCATGTTTGTTTTCCCCCCCCGGACCAAACCAACCCGGCTGCAGATGTGGAAACGCCCTCAGACAAGCATCAGTCCGACTTCAGTGGTGAACACGCCCTCGTGTCCCCCGCGTTGAGGGCATCTGCTCCTCTCAATCTGTATCTCTTACTTGGCTTTAATTGATTCTGACAAACTGGACTTGGTGTGGACGTGGGCAGCTGTACCTGCAGACTTCAACCTGCGATTTAGCCTCGTGTCTCAAAGCAGCCGGAGGTTCTCATTTGGATTTAGCTTTTTTCTTTTTCCGCTTCGGTGTTCGGCCGGTCTTTGAGAGATTCATGAATGTTGTTATTGTTTAAATCACATCCTCTTGACAGGTCCTGTTTTTATTGAGACCCATCTTGTTACAGCGGCAACTATATTATTAGTAAGCTCTCCACCCATCTGCAAGGGAACGCCATGATTCTGTCTGAAGTGTTGTGGAAAGATTTTGCCGTCCACATCACCCCCGATCCTACATACCAAATGTCGTAAACAACAAGTGAACATTAAAAACACGAGGTGGGGATGAATACGAGACCAGGCTCTTGTACTGTTCTTCTGGAGCCAGCAGGTCCAGACAGGCTTCAGGGAGACGATTGAACACTGACCCCGTTGTGTTTGGACTCCTCTCCTGTCGAAACACGAGCCAGAATTAAACCCCGCGGCTACAATTTCTTTTTTTCCTCTCCTTTTTTTTCCTTCGAAGTTTATGTTGCTGGTTTATGTTCTTAGATTGCATTTTACTTCGGTGAAGGCCTGCAGCAACGGGGTGACAGCTTAGACAAAGCCGATGAGGAACTCGCTTGGCCTCCTCTGAGCTCCCAGTGAATCTCTCCAGAGACGCTGTGCAACGTTGACTAACCCCCTTTGATCAGAGACGGAGCGTCTTTAGCAGTCAAGGGCCTCTTCCCGTCCGCAGATCACGGCGACCTGCGAGCGAGGTCACATTTCTGTCTTTGCTGCCCCCTTTTCTCATAAAAAAATAAAAACGCAGTGTTTTTTTTCCTTTGACAGGCACGTTCGGGCGCATCTTCCACGGCGTGCTGCTGGACGAAAAGGACCCCAGTAAGGAAAAGGAGGTCTTCGTGAAGACAGTGAAAGGTAGGCGCTCCGATCCAGCCGCCGATGCGCGGTTGAACGCACACTTATCAAATAAATAAAACATTTTGTTCAAGTGTCGAGTATTTCACGTGCAACTCACTCCGGGGTTTCCGGAGAAGGGTGTTGGTTGGAAAGAGATTGGCTGGTGAAATGCCAGAAAGGTATTGTGAAGAGGACTGAAACCCGGGCGCCTCCGTAAACTGGCACACAGGTTGCAGGGTTTGCGTGTCGGGTCCTCTGCCAGCTGCCTGCTGACCCCTGCACTCTCCCGTGTTTACTCAGGGAGGGGCTGGATTCCACCCGGCAAACATGCCACTCTGGACTTTCGTTAAACTCTTTACTTCCTCATGCGCTTTTTATGGGGAAAAGAACAATGCCGTTCCCATAAGCACCAAAGCTGCACATGTAGATTAAAAAAAGACATCATTGGGTTTGGCACCGGTTTCCGACTGCAAAGGTCGATGTTGACTGAGGAAATGTCTACTAATCAAGCACTAAATGCCTCGACTATGACAGATTAGTCACTGCTCAGAGCTCCATTTTATTTAAAATTTGATTTTAAATGCTTCAGATAATGCGTCTGAGGTGCAGGTGACCATGATGTTGACTGAAAGCTGCAAGCTTCGTGGACTTCATCATAGGTGAGTGACACAGTAATCACACAGTGCGTGTTAGACTATCACTTTAAGATCAATGCACCCCGTCTGCTGAATCCCTTCCTGTGTTCTTTTCTCAATGGCGGTGAGCGCTGATGAAAGAGCACGTGCTGTAACATGTTTTTTGCAACACTCAAAAAGGCTCCTTTCCAACTTATTATGTCATACAGCCATTTATTTATTTTATAAATGATCACCACCTGACTGCAATGGTTTTAGAGTAGCGTTGGCATAGCTAATATCATTTATAATTGATCCTCCTATTCATCTGTAGGATTTATCCCGTATTAATTTTGCGTAGGTAGTTGTGATCGGCACGACTCCTTCCCCTCTGGTACTCGCTGACATTTCTTCTTCCGCAACAGTCTGGCTGACGCACCTAACGTGAACTTTCGTCTCCATGGAATCCCTTTGACGTGCAGCGATCTTTTACAAATGTACTTTTGTGCGGCCGTGTTGCACGGCGTTCCGGTTCCTCAGTTGCTCTGTCTCTCCGCATGCAGGAACCTGCTGCCCATAAGTCACGTGTGCACAGAGGACGGAGAGAAGCCCATGGTGCTGCTGCCTTTCATGGCTTGGGGGAATCTCAAGCTATTCCTGCGGCAATGCAAGCTCGCTGAGGCCAACAACCCGCAGGTAAGCATCCAAACAAATGAAACCATTAAGATCAACGTTCATTAAGCTGTGAAAGTGAGTTCCCCAAATTGGAACAAAAGTCAGACTCAATCAAATTCTCGCCTGCAGGAAGGCTGTGTGCGCCAAAGTAAACACCAACCACTAACTACTAAGCTCTTATTAAAATGACTGTAGATATAAGGGTGATTGCGGGGCTCACAGCAGAGTTTTGTGCATTATGTGAAGACAATCGAGCCTTTTCAGCTATTTTTCCCCCGAGGAGTCTTTGATGTGACTGGCAAAGCTACAGCACATATCCAACCAACCAACCAATCAATCCGCTGCAAATGACGGATGTAGAAAAACAACCTGCGATCACAAGACGAAGCTTGCCAGCCACTTGTGTTCATGAAAAAGGGCTTTGTAAAGTCCCAGGTAACGCACATCAGCATCTTCGCTCTCTGTAATCTCATTAAGTACTGTTGGCAGGCGTAGGAGACAAAGACGTAGTCATTATGTTGAGGTGTTGCAATAAAAATGGACCTATAAATGTGAGGTGCGTCAGTGCAGAGGAGATAAAGCTCTAGGGAAGCGCTTGCAGGAGCACAACACTACGGAGTGGCACTTGTTCTGTCAGTCAACATCTGTTCTCTCTGTAGAAGCCAGTGCGCAGGGAGGACGCAGAGCGCCGGCCGGGTACTGGCTCAGCACGCCTCTGCTTTAGGCTGTTGACATGACATGTTCTTATCCACGTCCACTGATTGCCCAGACTTTGTTTTCCTGTGTTTTATTCATTTCGGTGGTATCGGACGGAAAGAATTCCCCTGCGTGTGTCCGAGCCAAAGTACGCTGGACTGAATGGGATCGGAAACAAAAATGCAAACGGATAATCTGTGTAATCAGGTTCCTCCCGTTTCCTTTAAGTGCTGTAATGGATTCGGGATACATTTGATGGTTTGCAATGCGGTGCCCGGGTCACAGATAAAGCACCAAACAGACAACTTTATTTAGTGTCTCCTGCTCAAACCTTTCGCTAAAGGAATTTAACCAAATTGTTTAATTTCCCCTTTGTTTCATACCGCATAATTGTCCAACTCTAGTGTCATCTTTATCTTTAGAGCGTAAGGACAAAAACGGTTGACTTCCTTGAAGCCAAATGACGTGGATCTTCCCCACTGCTTCCTCATTCACGAGGCCCACGCACTTCCTTTAGCCCCGCCTCCAAACTACTCGCCTTTTGCTCTATTTTATTGTCAGCATGCGAACGCGCTCACGTTGACGATGCAATCTGTCTTCTTAGATCAGTGTTTTAGCAACAAAGCAAAAAAAACAACTTCATCACGCTAACGATATATCATCAAATGTATCGCAGCACAATAACATGAATCGCCTCGGCGATCTTAGCCGTTCATTTAGAGTCTAAAATAGTCTCATGTTGCTCCCGTGGAGCTCTCCTGTACCACCCCCTCCATTTTCTGTGTTTCTCCTCTCTCAACTAAAAATTGCCCCTCTGCCCCCCCCCCCCCCCCCCCGCACATCTCTCTCAGGCGATCTCTCAGCAGGACTTGTTTTACATGCCCATCCAGATCGCCTGCGGGATGAGCTACTTGCTTCGCAGGGAAGGTCATTCACAAGGACTTCGCCGCCAGGAACTGCGTGTGAGTGTCCCCTGAGCCCTCAACTTGTGCTTAACTAACGGTTGTTTGGGTGATACACCCCCCCCCCCCCCTCCTCTCTCCCCCAACAGCATTGACGACAACATGCAGGTGAAGATAACGGACAACGCTCTTGCCCGGGACCTATTCCCCATGGATTACCACTGTCTGGGGGACAATGAGAACAGGCCAGTCCGCTGGATGGCCCTGGAGAGCTTGCTCAACAACGACTTCTCCAGTGCGAGCGACGTGGTAAGAACTGCGCCATGAGCAGTTGTCTTTCAGCCGAGGGACGGAGGACGGTGTCTTTTACCGTAACAGGCTGTCGTCGCCCCCGCCGATGAATGTTAGCGCTTTGTTCGTCCGTCTTCGCGATGTCTTGAAGCCGATATCTCAGAAGAGATTCGCTTCCACGTGGTCACGGGGATGAGCTGACTAGATATCATGAGGTCAGAGGTCACTGTGTCCTCACGTGCACCCCTCCCCCCAGAACGAGATACATCTCATGATCACCTCGAGGCAATTGTTTTAAATTTGGCCAAAGCATCCAGGTCGACTCAAGGCTGAACTGACACATTTATTCAAGAATTGATTTGGACAGACATTCACCCTCAAGCAGTGACTCGAGCTTCAAAAAGTGTGTGATACGGAGAAGGCGTTGCAGGAAATGTCAGTTGTAATCCAAGCCATCCTTGGCTGCATGGTCATGGTATCAGGGGTGGAGAAGGGCCTCCTTCCTGTCCCGGGGTAGCGGAGACGGTCGGGAAGAGCGATCGGTCCTTAGACGGCTCGGACAGCAGCCAGACGAGCCCCGAACCGCTCAGCATTCCTCTCATGGTCACTTTGCTTCCTCTACACTTACCGTGAAGTACCTGGAGCTGTGCAGCATCATCCGAGCGCCACTCGTGCCAGCGTCTGCCGGGTGGGATGAGAGAGTGGCTTAATGGCTTAATGTTAATGTTTAGGCCTCTCCTGGCAGTGGCCCAGGCCCCAATGTGGGAAACAGGATAGATTACTGTACATCCGTCCCATCACTGCGCCCCACGTCCTAGATCACTCCCTTCACTTCCTTTAAAGGTTGGGACACACGAACGCTGCATGTCCCACACTGGGGGGGAGCCCCGTGGGACACACACACACACACACGGCACTAACACAACAGCACAAGAACGGGTTTATTTTAGATAATAATTTGTCCTGAAATAAAGTGTCCCGGGCCCTTGAACTCCCGGCCTCCCCGAATCCCAGCGGCCGCCCGCCTGTTTACCTTCAGCCTCTCAACGCAAACACTCGATACGATTCCGTATCTAACGCCTGTTCATCATTTCCTAGCATTGTTCCCGTGGAACATTTTAGTAGTTGAACGCTTTCCACACTGAATACGAGTGAGGAGGAGGACGATGACGATGCATTGGGAGACTGGTGTGTGTGTGTGTGTGCGCGAGTGCTCAGGCTGGTGGGTCGTTTGTCCGCAGTGGGCCTTCGGCGTGTCGCTGTGGGAGCTGATGACTCTGGGTCAGACCCCCTACGTCGACATCGACCCCTTCGAGATGTCGGCCTACCTGAAGGACGGCTACCGGATAGCACAACCAATCAACTGCCCCGATGAACTGTACGTAGACGCTTTGGTTTCCTAATCCGTTGAAGCTTTTCAAAAGACAAAAAAAAACAGTTGAGAAAATAAAAGGCGGATCAATGAGGAAATTGAGCGTTTGTTGCAGTCAGATTCACAGAGATTGTCTTGCTGGAGAATAAAAAGAGCAATAATAAGCAATTAATAATAATTCATTAAAGATCTGAGAAAACTGATATGATCATACAAATTAATTTTGAGAACTTATGTTCTAAGGTTTCAGCCCATCAGGCGTGTGAAAACACTGGCGTGCAGATTGTCTCCACATCATGAGCCGGTTTCTACTGTTCAGTAAATGCACTAATAAGGAGTCAATCACTTTTTGACATAGTTGAACTCCGGCTAATCTTACATAATCATCGGCATAAACACTGTGCAGTGAAGCGTGTTATAACGTGTGTGCGTGCGTGTGTTCAGCAGATCCCTTCGCTGATAAACATGAAGCGTGTCTGAACTTTATCTTAGACAATACTCTTTATTCATTATATTTCCTTCTCACTTTTTCATCAAGAGAACAAAAAAAAACCCATCAATACTCTCATAATGATCTCCTCCTGTTGGATAATAAATGATTCCTAATTCTTGCCATTCTATTTTTTGACCGTCCTCACTCACTTTTGTAATTGTAATATAAAAACCCTGAATAGGTTTGAATTTGCACAAAGGAATCTGAACTCTTTTGGATCGCTGAACGCGGTTTCCTTCTCAATACAAAAGCGTCGAGGTGGCGGCTTCCTTTCGCCAATTATTAGAGGTTTGCAAGAAATAATATTACGGGCGCACGTGTTGATTAATGAAATGATTACATCTCCCTCATTTATATCAGCGGTCGGCAGGCAGCTCCTGTTCAGACAAAATCCCACCTACGATAAACTTAAGAGGCATTTTGCTCCGACGCCCCGAGTTTGACACCAGTTTCACAGCCTCACCCCCCTCCGCCCCCCCGCAAAATAAATATTTATGTACACATACTACACCGCCGGGGAAGAGGGTAATTATATTTATACTATTATAACAAACTGAACGTCATGGGGTGGCGAGTGATAACGTCAGCAGCTGTCGGAATTGTTGGAATTTTGTTTCAATACAAAGGTTTTCTTTAATGTTCTTTCCGTGTTACTTGTGAAGATATTACATCGTCCTTTCAACAGCTTCCCAGATGATTCCTAAAGATTAGTGTTTCCATTTTTACAGGCTGGCGAGGAGAAGGTCCTGACCGATCAAACACGCGTTTACCCTCACATTCTTTTATGAACATGGAAGGATACTAATATAATGTATCATATTATATATATATAACATAATTGTTAGTTTTCACCATCACAGCGGACATTCCAACCTTGACACCATGTGGCTGACAGCTCGTACTGCAAAAATTGTGATAACAAGGTTATTTGATCAGAAATGGAGCCGTCGCCCAGCTGCGTTAAACAAAAGAAATACTCACCCTTTTGAAGTTTCCTTGACGCTGTGCTCTGTGCTGCAGGTTCGCGGTGATGGCGTGCTGCTGGGCCCTGGACCCGGAGGAGAGGCCCAAGTTTCAGCAGCTTGTTCAGTGTCTCACGGAGTTCCACGCGGCGTTGGGCGCTTACGTGTGAGAGCCAGCGCCGCCTCCTCTCGGGAGCGAAGGACGTTGACGCGGAAGGCTGGTGGACACTGACCATAAGGAATCCATGTATGATAGCGTGCCTTATCCGACCACACAGCAGACTTCCGTCCTCATGGTTTCATTCTGTACAGTTCTTCTCGGAGTTTTTATATAGTTGAAATCCTTTTTTATAGCAAAGTAAAAGGATCCTTTTGTTGAATATTGTTTTGTGTGCTTCCGAAGCGTCCGCAGACGAGGCGACCACACTGCTCTGTCCTTGCGTTGCTGGACTCAAAGCCTCCGACAAGCTGGTTTTAAACGCAGCGCTTTGAACCGTTTGGTAAGCTGGTGATCAGATGTGCCGCGGTGGACCGGGGGGGGCTTCGTTTGGATGTGTGCCGCGCTGCTCCCCGGAACCCCCGCGCTCGGTGCCAGGGGCCTCTCGGAAACCACTCGAGTTTGTCCCGAGGATTTCTTCACGGAAGGTACGCCGTGGCATCGGGAGGCCTCCGTGGACGGGAGCAGAGCTACACACGGGATTTCTTTTGCGAAAAACATCCGGACGGACATTTTGACCGCTGTTATTTTTCAGATGCCTCCACCTTCTTCCTCTTTTTGTACTTTTTTTATCGTCCACACTCCCTCCCCTCGAACAGGCCTGTCGCTGCGTCTTCATTGTATAAGCTTGATTGTTCTGTGTCAGAACGCAGCCCGCCTCAGGATTCCTCTTCCTGACTGATTCCACGGTGACTAGAACACGGAGGATCACTGTGAACGCAGAAGAACTGCCGACCTGCTCGGCCTGGTCCCGTTTCCCCGCCGCGGACATCGTTGGGATGTGCCTTTTATTCTCACTGCATGTTGAATTAAGGTTTTTTATTTTATTTTTTATTTTTTTTACTTCCCGATTTCATATCAACAAATTAAATGGTATCTTTTAAATATACGTCTTTCTTCCATTTGTGTTTCGCATCGTATGAGCACCGCAGCTCTCGTCTGGTACCTGATGTTTGTTTTGTGCCGCAGAGCGTTTTGGTACAAGGAGCAAACCGTAATACTATTCAATAGCTCCTGCAGCTTTGTGACGGAAATAAGCATCCACACACGAAATGCTTGGGGGCTTTCCTCTGATTTTCCGATGGAGCTGCTTTGGTTTAGTTTCTTTAGCTTTGGCCGAAGTTAATGTCACACGCGAAACACTGCGATTCTTTGCGGTGTTGTAATGGAGTTTTGTAACGTGTGTGCGCGGCCTCTTACATGCTATCGGCGTGTGTGTGGCTGGCGTTCTGCAGCGGGTCTCTGACAAGAACCGCAAAATCCCATTTGAGCGGCTTGATTTTAAAATGTTGTTTTGTTTAAATTAAAACCAGCAATGGACAATTACTTGTATTCTGTGTCCTTCATTGTGAGTGCATTTGTTCACATACATCCTTTTTTAAAGTATGAGTCACCGTTGGCGTTTCAGTTGGTCGCAGGTCTGCACTTTGCTGCGATTTCCCCACCAACAGCAGTCATAACAGACAATAATGCAACGCAGCTGCAAGACTCGTTGAGCAAGTTCACGTTGTTGCCGCCGAGCTATTGCTGCAGCGAGGGGCTCCACAGCGTTATGTGAAGCGTCCCCCCCCCCCCCCCCAGTCCGACTTGGTGGGTTTTGTTTAAGCGCACTTGTACAGAACTGTAAACCGGGCCCACGTTCATACTTGTAAAGAAAAAAAAAGAGTTGGTTTTGATCGTTCAGAGCTTTCAGCGGAGCGTGAATCGCCTTTTGTCCCATCGGTTTCCTCCAAGGGCCTTTTTGTTTTGTCCCCTCTCATGTATTCATTAGTGAAAAGGGACGCGTCTCCCTCTCCACATTTTATCCGTAATGCCCCTCTGACTTAATAGTTATTGTCATATCTGGCGTTGCTTAGAGGCTCGTGAATTATACAATCATTCCATTTGGGCTGAATAAAACAATTGGACGAGCTCATTACAGCATGTGAGGGACGTCTCTGTTTGATCCATCCATGGCTGTCAAGGTCTAAAAGACTTTCAACAAACGTTTTTTTGAAGAAAACCCCCCTTGGCCTTTAGGTCACACCCGACACGCTGTGCTCATGGTATTACGGTCGCGTGCGTGACGCATCCCGGTGTGACGTACGGCAAGTCTCATCCCGGCAGCTTGTGTTGTAAAACCGACGGTGAGGGTTGAGCTCAATTATCCCGTTTGCCCTGTCGCTTTCCTGTACATCGAGATGATTCATGGCCGTGACTCAAGACGGACGGCGCGATGTCTGCGTCAAGTGCAACAAGCTTGAAAAGTCTCCGTCTGGGTTCAGACGAACTGATCGTTGCGGCAGGTCGAGGCCTCGAGGGCGCGCATCAGCCGCTGAGAGGAAACCGCCTCGTTTCGGGAACTGAGAGGGCCGTTTCAGGTCCAAACAAAGCAGTCTGATCCCTTCTTTGCAGATGCCTTTAAGTAGTGACACGCAGGGTGACGGTAGCAGTCAAGCTGGCTGGATTCCATTTAGCTGGTTCCAGTGTCCTGGTACTGAGCGTGTCGGCTCGCTCACGCTGTCAGAATTTATTGGGACACAGCCATGATTCATGTTGAGTAACACCTGTGCGTATTCTGTGTGGCCCAGTTGAAATACCTGTTCTGTAAAAAAGGCCGGTTGCTGAATCCAGGGGTGCTTGACTAAATGTGTATATTTAAAGGAGCACTGCGTTTGCGTTCAGGGGGGGTTTCCGGGCAGAAAAGAGCCGTCGCCGGGAGGAGCGCGCCTTCATCGGCGGAGGTCCCACCGGGCCTGGTTCCCCGTGAGCCTTCGGAGCGGAGTCCAGGCGTCTGTTGTCTTAATTGTGGGGTCGCGCTCTCCGCGGGGCTCGTGCGCGCGTGACTTGAGCCAATGAGCGCGCGGGGACGCGCTGTTCTCCACTCACACCTTTTCTAACCACTGACGCGTGGAGTCCAATTACATCACCGGCAGCCGCAAGACAACAGAGTCCAGCTCACCGGTGAGGGGGGGGGAGGGACGGGGGGGGGGGGAGGAGGGAGAGACAACCTTCGGCACAGAAGTCGCGAGGCTGCAAAGGACTGTGCGCGCGAGGACGAGAGCGGAGCGAATGGACCTTCTTTCCCCCAAAGCCATGAAGAAGCCGAAGACGCCGCGCTGCAGCGTAAAGGTACGCGCGCGCCCTGCGGCACGCTCCTTTACCCGAGCGCCGCGCGCTCCTTCCGACGGCGAGGGGGGACTATTCCACTGAGCTTTTTCTTATCAAAACCACGCTGAAATGCGCTAAATGTTCGCTAAAAGTGACGTGAGAAATGTTTAGAAGAAAAGTTGATGCAAATGATTTTTTTTTATTGCTGTCATATAACTTGGAGGTTAACGTTTTATCTCGTCTCTTGTGGGAAAACTTCCGTCGCTGTCACCCTGAAACTGGTCACAACGTTATCTCACTGCTGTGTTTAAATGGCTGATCCTAGTGGCGCGTAACTGTTAAGAGACGTTTTTATTTTGATTGATTATGTGAAAAGTTTGGGGAATAGATTTGTTTTTGTAAGCAATTGTTTTGTCTATTAATGTCACTACCTCGGGTGTAGGAAAACATTGTTTTAATGCGTTTGGCGGGTGCGTCCAGTTGAAAATTGGATGTCAGATTATCAGCAGCAATAGTCTGATGGACCCCAGTGACCTGTGGGAGTAAATGTAACGAAGGCAAACTGCAGTATGGGGAGAGAAACGAGGCCTTCTGAGCCTCGATGAGGCTAAACTCCACATCTCCATCACTGGCGGTGTGTGAAGACAGCGTGACTAAAAGGCCTCACCGCCTGTGAAAGCTCGAGCGAAGACACTTGTGCAACTTCTCACTTCCCAGAAGTTGGAGGTTTCAGTGCTTTTATCTGAAGCATTCTCACAAAGAGGGCGGTGGGTCCAGTTACTGCAACTCTTCAGTTGTTTACCACTGTAAGTGCTCAAAGCCGCCCAACCACACACACACACACACACACACACACACCTCAAGATGTCCCGTATTGAGGAGGGTGGAGGATGGTCAAACAGATCCTGCAGACAGAAACACATTTCTCCAAATTTAGACTGTTAACATGAACTCTTCACCCACCTTGCACAGTATGAATGCAGCTGAACTCTGCTGTATATTTACATAATGGGAGTAGTTGTGATCAGAGCCGCTGGTAAGCAGCACTGGAGTCGGTAAGCCGTTTCTGATGGATATGCAAGCAATCACACACTCTGAGCTAAAAGGAACAAACGAATGTACATAAAAAACTATTAATAAACATGTTTACAAGATATATTTGGTATGGGGTGCAAGGCGGACTGGAGGGAGAGTGGTTTTTTTTTAATGGTGTCAAACTAACGCTAAAAAAGGGATTACTGTTGGCCTCCTGTTGAGCAATTGGGTACAAAAAAAAAATGTTTTTCCACCGAGATCAAATCCCTTTGCTCTGACTTCTGGTCTACAATGGTTTCACAGGGCTCAGTCGGATTCATTCGTCACGTCCTGACGCTCGTACATGCTGTACGCAGCGCTGCTCTTTATTTGCCCGATTTCATCAGGCACATTGTTTAGTTTTGTTTTCCCTCGGCTTTCGTGCTTATCTGCCGTGGGCTGCACCTCGCCCGGGTTACACCGTCAAACTCTCTCTAAGGATTTCACTGCCAAGTTTCTGCTCAGGGGCACGAGGTGTTTACATCCTGAACAGTGGCGAGAGAAATGTTAGAAAGCGCCAGTTCATTTCTCTCACGCCTCAGTGCACCTGAGCACGTTCGTCACAAGCAGGTTGGGAAAAATGTCTGATCGAAAAAGTGGGAACAGCAGCTGTCTACTGTAACTCCATTAAACCATGCAAAACAAACAGAAACAAAGGGAACACAAACATCTGTAGCTCTATTGAAATGTAACTAAATCTGTTCAAGGCCCCCGCTAAAGCAACTCTTAATTTAAATGATTATTATTTATTTATATTTTTATAATCTGGACAACAAAGCAGAACGAATGGTTCTGTCGGCTGGCCTGAACTGCACCACAGTCCATCTACCAGCACTGCAAACGCACATTTACACATTATAGATATTTAATTCTAATCCATAACGACAAAAAAATGTAAAAAGTTAGCGCGGCTTAGCATAAAGACCAAAACAGGTTGGGGGCGCTTTTTTTTGAAAAAATAACAGAATGTATCTACTGGCAATGCTAAAGCAGTCCTATAGTGACACACATTTGGTTTTAAGCCGTACAATAAAACATCAGGGTGTGGTTTTTACGTGCAGCAGATTCCAGGAAGTACCCTCTCCCCAAGAAATACACTAGTCTGGTACATATGCCCTCGTTAACAGGTAATGCATCACATATTTGAATTCAACAAGCTTTGGAGATTTATTTTCTTAGCTGTATCCAGTGTTTATGTTAAGCTAACTGTCTACTTTCTCCACAGCCTTAGGTGATATTAATCTTTTGATCTAAAGAAAGAGAATAAGAGAAGTCCCCTTTGTATTGACCGATGGATCCAAATTGGAGAAATTGTTCCTTTTGATCACGTTGCCATTGTGCAGGAAAACCTGTTTTATGTTTGTTTCACAATGGAGGGAAGGGAATCTCTGGCTCCGTTTCTTTCAAGTATCCTGGGAGACTTACGCTTTGCTTTTGCTGCTTGTTTTTTCCTCAGCTTTTTGACCACGTTGGTCTGGCATGTTGAAAAGGCGACACTTACAGCCGGCGTTGTGGCCACACGTGTCCCTGATGTAAAAGCGTTTCAAAATGAAGTGTGAACTTCCCCCGATTCTTCCCCTCGCAGCAGGGCTGAAGGCTGGGACAATGACGTCAAGCACGCTGAGCTGTGGGTGTTCAAAGGACACAAATATGTACATAATCCACGGAGGATCCAACTCGGTCCTGCTTGTGGACACAGAATAGTATCACTTGTCTCAAGTGTGTATAAATAACAAACTCTGCGTCTTCACAGTGGGACATGGTGTTCAGCACGAGCTGTATGCCTGCTGTCCCTTTGTCTTTATTTCAATAACCCGTGGCTATCTTATCCAACTTTACAGAAAAAACACGACCGGCTATATTCCTTCAGTAACCACAATTACGGGCAAAAACAGTTTTTTGCACTTTCTCACGGTAACGGTGAAATCTAAAAAGCCAAACGGTGAGAACGCCCGAAGCTTTGTCTCTGGAACACGTATCTGCCAAACGTTATCTGCTGTAAAATAGAAATCCAAGTTCGTTAAAGGCTCAAAGGGGTTTAGGGTTGACCTGAAGCTGCGGTTAAAGAAAGAATTGTGCGCCTGCAAACCTTTTGTTTGAATCTAAACCTCAATCACAGAGCCTTGCCTGCCTGGGCAAACAGATCCATTTGATGCAAAATGAGGATGAAATATTAGCGGCAGTGTGAAAGCATCCATTGTTGCTGCTAGCACACCGCCAAGCCAAGTTTTAACAGGCGCATTAACTGTTCCGAGTCAAGCACAAAGTTCACTCCGCCTCAGCCGACCTGGCAGCAGGCAAACAAACTAAAAGCTGGGATTTATCCCCGTTTTCATCGCAAACTGGGCTCCAATCTCAGCACGTCTCTTCTCTTGGCGCCTTGGAGCCCCAGAGAGAAGCCGTGCGTGTCTGTGAACGCGTCGCGACACACCGACAGGAAAGCTCCGGATCTGAAAAAAGCCTCTTGATCAGTCGGAGACACATATATAGAACAGTAACTCCTCACGCTCGACAATCGAGTCCAGAAATATCGTGGAACACACGTTTCATCATCCCCCTCGGAGTTTCTAGGAAAACCAGATGTTTCGTAAGACGTCACCATCAAAACAGCTTCTGAAGCCAGAGGTGGGAAGTGACGAAGCCTTTTACAAATACTCCCGTTGGCGTCTCATTTCTTGGAGGGTCACTGGTCGCTTGGCAATGTGTGAATCCTTTTTAAAGCTCTCTGACTGCATGAAAAGCTGCATGAAAAGGTGAGACTTTAAAACAATGACGTCTCACAGATGTTGTTACTTTTTAGTTTATCGTTAAACATACAAAGCACATGACAATATTCTATATATATATAATATATGATGCATTGGTAGACATTACCTAGCAGCTGTTCACCCCAAATCAAGCAGTTACAGCATTAAAATCCTGCTCGCTTTCTGATAAATAATTATCTAGTAATAAATGATAATTAACTTTTTAAAAGGGCCATTCTGCATAATGAGCACTTCACACGTTATCTTTTCTGGTTGTCGTCGAACCGTTCACCTGGTCCGCCATCGGGATGATTCCTCTTAGTTCCCTAAGGGAGAAAATCTTTGTCACAAACACCCACCTGGAGTCGGGAATGAATTCATGAGTGAAGGGTACTATGGGGATTTATTCTGTAAAGCTATCAATGCAATAATCCACCTTCCATTATACCTGCACGTTTCCTACGACTCCACCTGATTCAATCATCTGCTTTTTCTGTCTAGAGAATGCTCATTTTAACAATATTGTTTCTAGTCTTACCAACGTTGGGAATTCTGCCTCCAGTCTCTGTAAATTCATGTGTTTTTGTGAAGCAGCTGTGCAGATACCTTCACTGCTGTGATGTTCATCTCCTGTGGTTTAACTGGACGACATCTCGGTGTGTTAGCAGGGCGGAAAAAGATTCAGACTCAAATCCTCTGGTCCTTTTCTTCCGTGTTCCAAAATGGGATGCCGCCGGAGGGGGCTTTGTTTAGGTCCCTGGGGGGGGGGGGATCCTGATCGGCCTCTGTGTGAGTGCAGATGTGCATCTCCTGCTGTAGAAGCGATTTGTGACACTAACCTTGTTTCGAAGCTTAACCCTGTCTCTGTGTGTGTGTGTGTGTGTGTGTGTGTGTGTGTGTGTGTGTGTCCGTCCCAGCTGTTTGTCCTGTGCCACGGCCTCCTGCAGCTCTCTCAGCTGCTGTACAGCGCCTACTTCAAGAGCACCATCAGCACCATCGAGAAGCGGTACGGCCTCAGCAGCTACTCCTCTGGAACCCTTTCCTCTCTGCACGAGGTAGGCGCCAACAACAACACAACCGAGCGACATTTATTTCAGGCACGTCAGTGACAAAGAAGGTATTCGAGAACAAGCAACTTATCAAAGTCACACTTCCTGAATTCAAGCCAGAAGTATTTTGGCTGCGTTTTATTATGGATGTGTGGGGTCGAAGGGATGATGACGTGTATCGTACGTGCTCACGTTGCATTGGTCCGTTTTTTTTACTCTTTTTGAATTCAAACCGAAAAGAACGGTTGACATTATAATATGTGTGATCGTGACTAGTGGTAGAATTATAGTTTGTGTACAATTTCTGTATTTTGAATTAAACATAAGTCATTTAATACTGTACACATTACATCTATAATGGATTCCTCTTATTTTATCCCCAAAGATGTTTTTATTTAGGGCTTTTTTCTGTCCCAATGAGAGCAGAGCATGTTGCAGGTGTGCAGGTAGGAAGGCCCTGCAAGGCAACTGATACCTTTAATATTACGTTTAGGATGTTATGAAATATGATGATGTAAGATAGTTTATGGTTGTATTACATATTAGATAAACATGATATAATGCATGCCATATAATGTTTAAAGAGCATTGGGTCAAGTGTGTAATCATTGAATGTGTTCGGAGCCTGGTTAGGGGAGCGAGGGAATTTCACATGGAGCCACTCGGGCGGATAATAAAATGCGTGATCAAGCGACACAATATTGGGAGGAGTTACGTTTGAATATACAGCCAATCACATAAGGTCGTAAAATAATGGAAACACCCCCGCGAAATGCGGAAAGCTCTGTTGAAGGAGAGAAAGTTCCAGAAGATTCCAGAACTCCATCCGTGAAGGTCTGAGTAGACTGGGGTGGATTCTCTATTGTCTACGCGGGATGTTACACTGTTAACAGCGTAGCTTGTAACTTAGTTATTAATCCCTCGAGCCATCGAACCTTTGAGTGGCTGCAGCAGCAGTGAAAAGCTTCATCTGGCCGAGGTGTTCTGGGGAGAACCTACATTCCCTGAAGGCGCACCTGGGATTTGAACGCATCACACCGATCAATGGTTTTCAGCAGTTTTCCAGGCGTCTAGAGTGCATGACCACGGGTCACTGGTCTAAATATCCATGGAGACATTTGCTGCCTTCAGGCTTTAGATCACGTTGCAGCTCAGATCCTCAGTATTTGGCTGCAGTTGGAGTTCTATGTGAATGCGATTCACAAGATCTGACTTGGCTGCAGGATATTTTATGAAAACACATCAGACAAAGTGTTAAGATTTGTGTTTAAAAAAAAAAGGTTTTGAAGAGCCAGATCTTTCCCTCAGGAAATGGTGGAGACCAAAACTGAGAAACAATAAGAGAGAATATTGAGCACATATTCATCATGTGGAAATAACTATTCATCAACATTATTGCTAATAGGCAAATATTTGCTAAATTTACTCAAGAGGTTTGATTATTCTGGCCTGTCTGCAGACCGAGGACACTTCCACGTTTGCTTTTTGAGAGTCCATTAGTCACGTTGGATAACTGAGACCTGAGTGAGCGGATGGATTAGAAAAGAGAAGGCGTTCCCTGTGGCTCCTCTTTGAAGCTTGTTTCTCTCTCTCCCTCTTTGTTTGCCTCTTAGATCAGCAACAGTGTGCTGATTGTGTTTGTGAGCTACTTTGGAAACCGCGTTCACCGGCCGCGCTTCATTGGAATGGGCGGACTCCTGATGGCCGTCAGCGCCTTGATGCTGACCCTGCCTCACTTCTTGTCCCAGGCCTACGAATACGACTCCGTGTTACACAGTAAGACAAGCACACCCGAATGTGACTCTGAGGGGGGGGCTCTGCGGGACCCAACGTGTACCTGCTCTTTGGCTTTTTGTACTCAGGAAGCTTCACCAGTGCTCTCCAGCTGAACCGTTCAAAAAAAACAGACGGAAGTTAATAATTTAGAGTTCCCTCCCGGCTATTTAATTTGTGAAAGCTTTGCCCCTCAGACGGAGTCAGCAAAAGGCCAGACAGGCTTCTGGAAACGAGTCGGACATTTGCATCCACTGGCTAGTCGTTAACTATCTCCTCCCCATCTCTCTCGTCTCTCCTCCCCTCTCCCGTCTGGGACCACCTGCTGTGATCCAGATCGCCACGACATCTGCAACCTGCAGAGGAACTCGAGCGGCCTGGAGTCATGCGGCCGCGACGAGACCCGGCGCTTGGCCGACACCAACAACCTGTGGCTGCTCATGGCCAGCGCCCAGCTGCTCTTCGGCGTGGGCTCCGTGCCCATCCAGCCCTTTGGCATCTCCTACATCGATGACTTCTCAGGGCCGGGCAACTCCTCTCTTTACATAGGTGAATGGCCTGTAGTTCAGTGGTCCATTGTTTGGATGGAGAACAACGCAACCAAATGTGCACACCGTGGTGTCTTCCTATACGCTGCTCTGCTAGTGTTCATTTTGAAAAGCTGAAAACACCATTAAATGTTTTGCTTTTCACCAAGACGACGATGATGATTTTGGGGGGAGTTGATGCATAAAAACCCAAACAAACCGACACAAAACCGGGTCAAACAATAATGCCGTGTGAACATTTTTGCCAACCAGTCAGAATTTGTTGCCTCACATTGGCTTTGTCATTTGCAGCCATCCTGTTCGCAGTGTCTGTGTTCGGGCCGGCCATCGGCTTCCTGCTGGGCTCAGTCATGCTGCGCATCTACGTGGACGTGGACAAAATTGGTTTCGGTAATGACCGCGTCGTTTCGAGGCATCCCCAAAGTTATTTTACAGTCAGGTTGTGGCGAGAAAGTTCTCACTGATGTCCCCTTGCAGGAGCTGAGACGGAGCTGGGACACAGCGATCCCCGCTGGGTGGGGGCCTGGTGGATGGGCATGCTCATCACCGCTGGCTGCCTCCTGCTCACCTCCATCCCTTACTTCTTCTTCCCTCGCAGAATGCCTCCAGAGGACAATGCAAGTCAAACACACAGAGCCCTGTTTGAGGACCACTCGTTGTACTGCAGCGATGACTACTGCCACCTACTGGCTGCATATCAGTATTGCGTTTTACTGCTTTGGTTTTTCCTCCTCTTGAAGGTTTAACATCTTACCCCCCACTGTTACTGTCCCCGGACATATCTCAGTTCCCATGAACTCGTTTAACTAGCGACCCGCCATTGACCTTTTAAACAATCTGCAGAAAACATTAGATAATTATTGATTAGAAGACGCCAGATTCCGTCCCCAGTGAGTGAAACCACATTTTGCTCTTCCAGCTCCGTCCCGGCCTTGACCTGGGAAAAAAACCAAAGCTGTCGTGGATAACGCGTGTTCCCTAAAGGGACACTGAGTCAGATTTTCCGATGTTTCGAATTCTGTTTCTGGGCGTCAATCTGTGTTGTGTAGTGATTAGGTGGCACATCGTAAGTACGCATCATAGTGAAAGCTACAAAAATGCAACAAATGCAAACAACGCGGGTTGAATGCGGGTGTGACCCGGGAGCGTAGCCTTTCAGGGTCGTTGAGGAGGGGACCCACTTTAAATGTTGCATTTTCTAAAATGCAACTGAATAATCCTCCTCGTATTGCCCATAAAGGGATTGTTTGCATGTTTTGATCTGTGCTTGTATGAGGTGCTACACTGTGAATCTGTTACCTACAGGAGATGCCGGTGGGAAGGGGGTGTCTACACCTCATACAACTCCACTTCAAAACCTCCCAACCATCCCCTCAAGATCTAAAATCTGTAGAAATTAATACATTTGGAACATTTTTCAGCTTTAAATACATTCCGACTAAGACCAAGTAGTTTTGTATGAAAGAGCAACCAAAGAATCCCCTCCGAGGAACAAAAGATGATCTTCCATTGTGCAGTTTGACAGCTTCGGGGGATTTTGAATGCTTGAATTCTGTGAAATGTACCATGAAGAAACAAAGGGGGGTTGACAGAGGGGAAGAAAGCGGTGGGAAAAGAACCCTTTTGATGTTTTGACTGATGATTCAGACTAAGAAAGTTTTGTTGCAGGTGATCGCAAGTGAAACGGATGCTAGTGATGACTTGAAGAAGCCGGATGTCTCCCTGCTGGATTTCCTGAAAAGTAAGTTTAAATTCAGACTGCAGAGGTTCCACCCGTTCGATACAATGGATAGATAAGAAATAAGAAGTTTCCACTTCGTTATCATCACTATCAATCGGTGCGTGTGCTTGTGTCTCAGTGTTTCCCAGAATGTTTGTCCACCTCCTGGTGAGTCCCCTCTTCCTGATGCTGGTTCTGGCCCAGTGCTGCTTCTCCTCCGTGATCGCCGGCCTCGCTACGTTCCTCAACAAGTTTCTGGAGCTACAGTACAGCGCGACGTCCGTTTACAGCAGCCTGCTAGTAGGTAAGTGCACACCACTTTGGAACGTGTCAGCCGGCTGGCACAGGGGCCGCTCTCCAAAGAGGGAATTCGGTTCCCGCCTTTGTTCAGGGAACGTACAAAATGTCACATGAAGCAGATGCAACGATTAGCGTCGTCACACGCCGAGCACTGAGCTGTCCGCCGGTCCCAGGTGCTGTGAATCTGCCAGCCGTCGCCGTGGGGATGCTGATAGGCGGCGTCATCATGAAGAAGGCCGGCCTCACTCTGAAGACCATCCCGCGCTTCTGCGTTGCCATGCTCTCCGTGTCCACCCTCCTCTTCATCCCTCTCTTCTTCATGGGCTGTCCCACGCAGAAAGTATCCGAGGTCAATCATTACCAGATCGGACAGTATGGGTAAGTGAGCAGTTAGGATGGGGCTTTAATGTGAATATCATTGGTTATTTGAGGGGTGTTTTAGGGTTTTGGGACTTATTGTTAGTCACACACATCTAGTTTAACTTATGTGAAAGTCTGATTAAAAATGCAAAAATATCAGTGGTAAAACATGCTATATTTCCCCAAGTTGTTCATAATTATTCATCATATAAACCTTATAAAGTGCATACATATACATATAGTATATAAGTCATTGCCTTGTTAATGTTTGTGGCCACTCATTTGTAAATTTAAAAGTTAAAATGGGCCCATGTTACCTTCCAACATGACTCCCAGCTGCATGCCTTGGTGCGTTTCCGCAACTGACTCTAGATCAGAGGAACAACCTGAACCTGTGACAGGAGAGGGTTGTGTTATGTGCCCGCAAATAAAAACATTGGCCGACAGCACTAGTAGCGGTGGAATAATCTACAGGGCGGCTTTAATGATGTGACCTGCAGCCTAAACAAAACAGCCAATATGCCATCAAAAGAAATGTCCTCCATGAAATGCAACTGCAGACTTAAATGTCATGTTGATGGATCCATTGATAGAAATCTAATACTCACAACTATGTTTTCAGTGTATTTTGTGAGGTTAGAATTAGCTCGTCATGTTGCAGCACTATGTGTCTGGCTGCAGTTTACAGCCCCGCCACTAGGTGTCACCAAATCCTACCTACTCTCCCCTTTAGGAAAGACTTCACTATGTTTAAGCCACCATGGTCCCTCACTTTATTGGCTTTTCTTTGTTCCTTTAGTGTGAGTGTGAATATTACATCTAAATCATAAAAAAAACCCACATAACATTTCATCTTTTTGTGACTGCAGGCTGCTGATAAAAGTCACAAACTACTCGCCACACCTGCTAATGAAAGCGGGACTGCTCTGAACTTGTTGTCTCCCCACAGGTATCCAGCCTCGTGCTACTCCAACTGCTCCTGCCCTGCCAGTGCCTTCCACCCGGTGTGCGGCTCTGATGGAGTTGAGTATATTTCTCCTTGCCACGCCGGCTGCACCAACTTCACCAAAGTCGCCAACAACACCCACAGGGTTCAGGTGAGTGGCCCCTCCAAGCACCTGCTCTGTACTCTATACTGAGATATTCAACATAAGCATGCAGTTTATAGTTCATAAAATATACATGTGATAAGTCTTTGAGACGTGCTGCCGACTGCATTAACACAGTCTCCTGTCAATAATTGTTCTGCGTGTGGGATGTGGAAATATGTTTTGGGTTCTTCTCCTGGATCAGTGGGGAGTGATCAACCTTTAACTGTCCGTCACAGAGCCGTGGGGAAAGCATGCGCTGAGAGCACAGTTTAATCTGATCATCAAAAGGTTACATCGGATCTTTTGTCATCATGTTTTCCCATTGTTAAAACAACCCTTTCCCTCTTGGTTGAAGTGTTACCTATCGATCTCGATTGTTTTGGCGTGAGTTGCCTGGATTTAGATATCGGCTGCTCAGATGTCTGCGTTCTCCTAAAATACAAAACACTCTACACCGTTAAACGACACGCCAGGTTAGAGGAAATGCTCGTAATTAGATTTTTGAGCTACACATTTGAGCTCCTCAGGCATTATCCCAGCATTTAGGCGTTGTGACATATATCTGGCAAACGAACACACATTTCATACCAGCAGACCTACGATCACTGTGCTTCTCCTGAGCCAGGAGCCTCCAGCACGAGTAAGTGGCACACCATCAATGTCCAACCGATGATTATTAGTCACAGAGCGTACCGGAGGGGTTCGAGGGACAAAACGTCAGAATGTAGACGTCACGGCTTGTGAGTAATCTTCCGGTGGGTGGAATGTGTGAAACTGCTAATAGAATTGATTTGACTCAGCTGGTCGGCCTGCTGTATAATGCTGCAGTACAAACAGACCGTGATGGCTACAGCAGACTAATCCATTCCCAACAAGTCTCTCAATATTATAATATAAGTGTAGATCCACATTAAATGTACAAAATTAATAGTGAAGGAGTTTATAACCGTCACAACATCTGCAAAAATCCAACATTTTATCTAAGGTTCACTTATTTAAAATAGCTTTTTTGTGCCTTTTTAAGATTCTATTCATTTCCTGAGAATTAGATACGGGTCAATGCCACTCCCATGATTGTTTGCTGAATATGAAGCGGGATTCGCTTAGCTTAGCATAAAGTCTAGAATCAAAAGGAAACATCGAGCCTGGCTCTGTTCAGAGGTGAGACCCACCGCCCAGGGCTTCATACTCTGAATACACACCTGGGAGTGGCGTCGATCTCAAACCCCACGAGAAAGCCTACACATGTATTTCCAAAATCGTGTTTTTCATTTTCTCAACACTAATGTTTGCTTTGCTTTCTGCCTGGATACAGCTGTACACCGACTGCAGGTGTATATCAGGGGAGCAGAGGACTGCCCGCCCCGCTCCCTGCCCCAACAGCTGCCCACACCTCCTCCTGCCCGTCATCCTGGTGATCTCCCTGGCCTCCCTGGTCGCCTGCCTCACTCACAACCCCATGTACATGATGGTGCTCAGGTGAGCAATACATTGTCAACTTGCTGCTTCAAGAAACAAGGCATTGACTTGGTTTTTAAGATATAGATATAAAGTCACACAAAAACAGAAATGGATTACTATAGAAATTGATGAGAAATTGGCTTCACGAGGGTTCAGATTTCTGTCTACTTCTTTTTTTAATAGAAGGCCTTTTTAAATATGAAATCTGATTGATCACCTCTTTTATTGTATTGCATTTAAACATCTACAGCGCAGATATTGACCGTCAGCCATTTCCTTTCCTGTTCATTTCAGATGTGTTCCCTCTGAGGAGAAGTCATTCGCGATAGGAATTCAATTTTTACTCATGAGAATATTAGGTAAGTCAGAAAAACAATCCTGTTTGCCGTACACATAGAAATAACTAGTTATTGTTACATGTCCTCCTACCTCACTATTTGATGTAGCCTCAAAGGGTCCAAAACTGAATATCTGTATATGTGATCTCATCTTTCATGGTAACTGTGTGAGGGGAGGTTGACTTTGTTATCAAGTTATGATAATTGAAATAAACATATGTCATGGAATAAAGCGTCATTGGGAAGTCTGCCGTTGTGAATTAAAAACGGCATTAAAATGTTTTTTTTCCTTTAAAGGTTTATGTTTTAATAGAATGACCACATTAAAAAAATGAAATGAAAATGTGCTTGTTGTAAGTGCTCTGTACAGTTGTCACTCCAACATAACAGAGCTCGATTAAACTTCCGCTTTAAATTCCATTCATCAGAACATTGAGGACAATGTTGGACTCCACCAAACGGAGATAGAAACGTGTTCTCTTCCTCTTTGCCCCCGTTAGCCTGGCTGCCCGCCCCCGCTGTCTTCGGCGTGGCCATCGATACGTCGTGCATCTGGTGGAAGCGCGTGTGTGGAAAGAAGTTCAGCTGTGGTTACTACGACAACGACATCTTGAGGAGCCGGTTAGGAAACGCACCGCTCGAAACACATCTTGCACAGACATCCACTTCACTGCTGACTTCACGTGTCTTCATCCGTCCGACCCCCTGCAGGTACCTGGGCTTACAGCTGGGTTATAAGGTCGTAGGCATCGTCCTACTGATGATGCTGGGATGGAAGGCCAAGCGGACCCAGGAGTACAGTCTGGAGAAGAGGCCCGAAGGACCGCTCTGAGGTCCTGCTGGTGGGTAAACACGCTGGAGAGCACGGATGCAGAACGAAGCTGCGTCGGCTGGAGAAAGGCGCAGTCGGGAGACACCTGCACGGACCTCAGCTCCTGGAGACCCTCCTCGTCACCCGCTGCTTCACTGGCTTGAGTTGAGATGTAATGTTTTTGGACGCTTTAAAGCTTATGATTGGATTTACTCTGACAACATCACCAACATATTACAAGATAAGAGAACTGCTAAAAAACCCTCTGTGTGTGTGTGTGTGTGTGTGTGTGTGTGTGTGTGTGGTACCTCACAATATTTTTTACGTGCGAAAGACAGTGATGAGGGTTCACACATCATGTAAACATCTTTGTCAAATTCTCGTTCCAATAAGGACGGAATCTGTTCGGGTTTCCGTTTCCAATGGGGACATGTTCTGTAACTAGTTAAATATATTAGCTTAATATTTAAGTTTATCTTTTTATAGATGTTTGTCTCATACACAGAGACATCTGTGATAACTGCAATACCGATTTCATATACGACGATCACATAAAACACTCCATTGAATTGCACCGCAATTCACCGCACACATGCAAGCTGCTGCTGTGGTTATACTGGTCACAGTGGAACGTATACGTGTGTAATGTTACTGGCTAATATACAGCATAATTAATCAAATCTGCGTCAAGTCATTTATTCATTTCTGTGTTCATGTCTCAAAGGCTGAAAAAAATGTCCATGTAATTCTAATTTGCATATCTTAAGTGCAAAAGCATCCAGGCTTGGTCCTTTTTAGGGGATGATATTGTGGCCATATTTCTCTTTTTGAAGGTCCCCTGTGTCAAAATATAGTTTTACAACCTGTCATTTTTGTAGTTTAGACTGTGCTGACTTGGGCCATTTTCCTGAACAAATTGGCAGACATAAAAATTGTAATGGATATACATAAGTAGTCGTGTTTTAGCATTTGAGGGAAGGCTTTTTTGTGTAAAATGATTCTGGGCTGCTGTGCGCACTAATGGATGTTTGTAACCAACAAGTACACCTGTTTATAAAAAATATAAAACATTTACAGTCCTATGAGCAATATAAATAAATGTACTAATTGCAATTGCAGTCGAGTCACTCCGATCAAAAAAAAAAAATCAAGAAATCAAGAAACAAACTACAAAGAAGTGAAAGAAAAAGAATAAATTGAAATTGAACTAAAACTACATTGGACACAGTACCTTTATCTCTATTTTTTTTAGTCTAAGAAAATGACCATGATGTCAGTTTTCAGTATTTCCTGTCAAATTGACTTTTGGGAAATTGTATAATCCAGGTTTAGTTCATCAATAAAGCCCATCGATTGCTTTGCTCTTCTTTTTTCAAAACCTTTGTATTTAAATTCTATGACTCAACCACATCATGCTTTTAAGTTGTGAATGATCAGCCCTGATAGTAAAGCTCGTGTTGAGCGGAGTGAAGCACAGGTGTCATGTCGGCCTCTCCTCCGCCTCCGGCTCGCATGACGTCATATTATATCACGGCTCTCCTGCCGTGGAGAGCGAGGAGAGGCCGCGCGTGCGCAGAAGCCTTCGGGTGAGCGAGAGAAAAAGAGCCCCATCACGGAGCAGCGCAGCAGCAGCGTGTTCCCATCACGAGCGGGCTGAACGCAGAGCACCACCGCCGCCGCCGCCGAACTCAGGCTGTCGTCCGGTGTCCGCAGTTCCCCTCCTCCTCCTCAACATGTCCGTGGGCAGTGACTTCGGGAACCCGCTGAGGAAATTCAAACTGGTCTTCCTGGGGGAGCAAAGTGGTAAGACGCGTTATCAATTCTCCGGAGAAGTTCAGCGCCGCTGCCGGGCGGCGCCCCGCGGTGCGCGTCGTAAAGGCGTTTCATGGGCGCGTTCGGACAGAGCCCGGACCAGCTATTAGTCCCCTCCCCCGGTCAAGGAGCCGCCGCGGGTTCGGTGCCGTGGACGGTACAAGTTGTGTCTCCGTGTTGGTGAGACACACCCTGCCGTCCGCGGCGAGCGCGCAACTTGTGCGCGTCCGCAGCCTCCCGTCGGCTCACCGAGTGTGTCTGCGTGTTTTTGCACCACGACCCGTTCTTTCCATCATTCTGTTATTATGCATCGTGCGATCCACTCACACACGGCTCAGTGATGCAGGGCCCCTTTGGCTTTAGCTGTGGGTTTTAAATAGTTTCTCACCGCCCGAGCTGCTGGTTTGGATGCTTGGAACGGGGTCTGTTCATTGTGAGCCTGGACCACGCCAGTCATGGTCCGGTCCATCAGTGGGTCCATGTGGACCATCCAGTAGACAAACAACAGGGCTTTGCGGGCATGTTTTATGTTATTGTAAATGGAATACATTGCTCTTGGACCAAAACAAGTTATTTGAAGATGAGAAATTGGGCTCAGTGATGATATTATGCTCACATTTGATAAAATACACATCAATCGGGTAATAAAAGTTCATGTAATAATTCAGGGAATTAGAGTACACGCAAACATGGGCCTGCTGGGCAGCGTTGTGTTGGTAAGTGCCGAGCAACGGGCCAAAGGGGATTTGTCTGCACCAACAGAAACCAGCGCGCCGAACGCTCTGACATCATGACGACCAGACATTTTATTTATTCTGTACGTAAAGGGTTCAAAGGGCTCTTCACATGAGCATTTCTCTTCAATGAATCTTTTAACATCATAAACGCGGGCAGGTGATAAGTAAGTTCTGAAATGGTGCTCGCCTCTTTAGTTCGCACTACTTTGAGTGCAGTGTTGCAGATCCGCGCCGCCCATAATGACTGCTGACATCCCCAGTGTTGTAACTACGGAAACCCACGGCCTCACACCATCTTGCAGCTTCGCCTTTCCCGCACTAAGATGCAGTGGTGACCTCATTCTGTAGCGTCTCTGGTGAAAGGGCCTCGGAGACGCGGCCGGTCCGCAGGAGCGAGTTCCACCTCGCAGAGTTCATCTGTCGCCCGGCGTGAGAAACCCGTCCGCCCTGCCGCTATCATTTATTAATGTACATGTCAGGAACGGGGGGGCACGAGCACAGAGCCCGGCCTTTTGTTCTTTTGAGGGTTTATAGTTGCTGTGAAAACCTCATATAGTGGGAGCGTGTGACGAACGCAGGCAGGGTCTTGTTTCTCAGAGCAGAACGCGTCGGAGAGGTGGGTGGAAGCGAGCAGGATGTTGTTGATTGAGCTGTCAGGAAGTCTCTTGCTTTCTTCTTGGGTTTTCTAAACCGCATGTGCAAATGAAGGGTGCTGGGTAGATTTCCTTGACAAGGCTGAGGGCTTAAAACAGGCCAATGGGCTGCGGCCGGGTCTGACGTGCCCACGCCGCCGGTCTGAAACACCTCTCTGCATTTACCGGGTCACACGTATGTGGCTGTAGGACACAAGCAACATGCACGGGGCTTTTGTAAAAGCTAATTGTTTGGAGGTAAACCGCTGCATGCTTCGTTTCACAAGCGGACGGGAATACATTTTATAGACGCATCCGGCCGCCATGAGATTTTGCTCACTGAATCAAAACGCCGTCTCACATCTTTCAGTGCAACAGAGATCGCTGTAGCTGACTTCAGAAATCCTGCTGAATCACCGGGCCGATGTGCTTCAAAGGGAAGGTTTTGGTTGTCTGGTGCATCAATAACCCCGAGTCAAGGGAGCGGCGTTATAAGCAAAGGAAACTGGTGTTTCCCTCACCGAGGCTCAGAAAGCGCATTTGTCTTTGTCAAATATTTTATACGGTACCAGTCAATTCACTACTCATTATCTCATTCAATTCAATGAGAAAGTGTGTCCAAACCTTTGACTGGTACACTAGATGCAAACAAATAAAAGCCAGTCTAAGTAAGAATGTTTTTTTATCAGTTTATTTTCACTCTTGCTTGGATATGCACGCCGAAAATTGGCACGCCAATGATTCAAGCATATTAGGTTTATTGGCAAAATTTAGTGGTTAGTGGTTTCTCCTAATTGAACACAAAATGCCTCTTTTCATATCCTGCGATTGGCTGGTGACCAATCCAGGGTGTAGCCCTCCTCTCGTGATCCTGTGTGCAGGATAAGCGGTTTGAGGATGGATGGATGTCTCCTGCGGTCTCAAAAGATCACACATTTGCAAACCTGGTGTCTCTGATGCAACTAATCAAGGAAGTGGCACCGGGTGTGCTTGAGATAGAACAGCGGTTCCCAAACTTTTTAGGCCCCTTCCACATCGCAACTGGGTTCATGCACCCCAATCGGCCACACTTTGACCAAACACAACAGTTTGCTCAGGCGTGATGGTTGTTTGCAATATTTAGTCCGCTGTTAAATGTTGCAGCGTGAACACAGACCGAACAACACGGCAACTGCAACATTGTATCATGTGAATTCTGAATAATGAATAAAATGGGAGGAGTCCATCTGAGGAGAGAGAGAGAGAGAGAGAGAGAGAGAGAGATTCCCTTATATAGAACAAAGTACCTGGACCGACAGTGGCATTTCATTGCATATTAGAAATATGGGAAAGTCAAGAGAATCGTCCAAAAAGTTAATTGTTGAACTGATTGCCAGAGAAAGATGTCAACGGCTGCCACCAGATTTCCCACGTGGCAGGTGGCCAAAATCCCCAATGACTGTACAATATCTGCAGCAAGTCTGTGTGGCAGCAGGAAGTGAGGCTTCAGTGTTCTCAGTAAGATGAGGTCTCCATGAGGTAAACCACTGCTGATCATCACCATATTAATAAGAAATTCTGATCCTGGATCAGCGGCATGTCTGGAGAAGGAAGAAAACGTCTTTCCCGCCTGTGAGCCAGCTGAAGCTTTGCCGCCATCGAGACGATGATGCCAAGCACACGTCAAAGTCCACCAAGCCGTAGTTTTTTTTTTTTAGAAAAAGTCCTGATTCGTGAGTGGCGATTCGTGGTGGGATTTGATGAATGCAGCTGATCACGCTAATCCAAGGCGACCAGAGAGCTGGAGGCCACAGCTGATGAGGATGCGCTCAGATTCCTCTGAAACACTGTCCCAACCTGGTGTTCGGCTATGCATCACCTTTTGTTTCTGGTTTTACCAGCAAAAGGGTGCAGTACTAAGCACTGATGAAATGTCAATATCAACCAGCGTTCATCCTGTTCATCCCAGTGCTGTACAGTGATGCCACTGAGCTTAAAACCACCTTTAAGTGTGCAGTTACTCTTTAAACTGAATCCAAACTCCATCAAGCTGAGTAGAAAATCGAGGGAGCACTTACAGCTGCAACGACCTTCCGTGAATACGGGATAAGAGACGCGTCTCCGGATATTCAGGTGGAGATGGACGTCTCTGAGAGTCCGGCCCTCATTCTCCGACCTGCCGCGGTAACACGGGATAATCTAGCTGCATCTCAAGATACCGGCTCGTCTCTTTCACTTCCATCAGCGTCTTCCCGGCAACTGTTCCGCTTCTCTGATGGATTGGAGGAAATGACTCCCTGACAACTTTGATCTGCTATTGATCGGCTCAGCTGCCCGCTAATGGGCGTAATTGATCAAAAGGCGCCAATCCCAGGCAACGTGCCGGACTAGTCGCTGCGACATGAGCGGTGGCTCTCACCCTTTTCTCACCGATGGAGCCCATGTGAAATGGGTTTTCAACCGACTGTTAACTCTCAACCCTGAACAAAAGACCAAAGCCTTGGGGTGGGTTGCAACTAAATCCTATTAAAACATTCTTCTGAGTACTGACGGAATTTAGCCGGCCCTGGTTCGGCCTCCTTCGGCTCTCGTTCCTCCCTGTTTTCACCAACATTGCTGCTACGCTTCAACCATGACTCCATTGTTTCAGTTGTCAAGGCCGGCAGTGATTGACAGGCATGCCAGGTTGGGTGAACCATCCTGATATGGAAGTGACCCTGGGTGAAAAAGTGTGTGCAAAATTTTGACTGGTGCCGTATAGTAAACTGTATGAACCTCCTTTTTTAGTCATGTGAGAGGCACGTGACAACAACCATTGTTTGGATTGCCATTAGATTTTGTACACAACGCCTAATAAGTCCTGTCAGCAGTAATCACGGCTTCAGTGACTTTTCCTGTAGCACCTCCATGCGGTCGATGCCTTGCACTTTCAAAGGCATATCTCTGCCGCCTGTGGATGCATTTTAAAGTTTCACATTCAGTCCCTTTCATCCGTGACTTTTCCTTTGGCGTAATGAGCAGGTCATAGTTTTGTGAAGTATCGGAACGTCATCAAGGCATCCACAACCCACAGAAGATGAATATTAAGCCCTTTAGTAGTAGCGGGTTCCATTCGTATTCATGAACCCGTGAAACTACTTTGATACAACCGCACCCGATACCACTGAACAGGTCAACCATTTTAAATAAACTAAATTTCCGTCTTATTAAGAGGTGCTTTCGGTTCTGCAGGAGCTGGTCGGCCACCAAGGAATACCGAGCGGAGCAAGAGTAGCTTTATGCACACTGTACTCTGCACAGCTGAGTGGGCGGGCCCCCAAAGGCCCCATGGGAGAGCCTCACTTACACACTCTGCCCAGAATAAAACAGGATTGCAAATCTGGCTGCTGCCCATGCAGTGATGTGGAGACACTGTGAATCTGTTGCTCCCGCCTGCCTGGGATTCCAGCGAAAAAGCAATATGCGATCGTCTGCTTCCTTAGAATAGACCTTTAGAAACAGACGGACTGAGGACCTTCTAAAGTACCTTGCATCTTGCAGCCGGAGAGAGAGACCATTCCCTGTAAATTGTGTGTCTTAGAAATAGGTTGGGCTCCCCGACTTAATGTGAGCTCTGTCGAAGGAGAGCGACAGAGAACCCCAT